TGTCGTCATCTGGCTGAGCCTTCTCTCTTCATCCCTGGGACAATTATGGTGGGTCAGGATTCCATCCTTGAGAGCACAGCCACTGACAGGGACCAGGAGCTAGACCACAGCTGATGGGCTGCAGGGCCTACTTACCTGGTTCCTGAGCCCTGCAACTTTACCTGCTTTGGCTGGCCAGTTCCAGTTTCTGCAGAACACCAGAACAGCTGAGAATACAGTACATTTGCTTTTTCGGAGGCCTGAGGGTGGCAGAAGCCACCACTGTTGTGATCAGGCACCCAGGAGAGGCAGGGGTTGGATTTTGCTGTAGCTATTCAAGGCTTTAGTGTCACAGGTAACAGAGGCCCCAGGGAGGACTGTGGGCTTATGTATTTTGGGGTGTGGAAGAACAACACATCTCTTTTCTGTTCTTTCTCTTTCTCTTTGGCTGTAGTTCAGAAATCTCCTCTTCCAATGGCTTCCCTGGAACTCATGGAAACCTTGATGGATTCTGCCTTGCCTTTCATGTCCCAGTTTCCTCTCTTGCTTCCTTTTCTGAATTTGTCACATCTGCTATGCATTGCTGAGCTGCTGGTCCCCAAGTTGCTGATCTAAGCTACAGGCCCAGATTTCCCTCACTGGCTCAAGTTCTTTGGGGCTCCAGAGCAAGATTAGCCTGGCATGGTGCATGCTAGAAACTATTCAACAAACATTTTAGTCCCGGATTCAATTACTGTGCTGGGCTTTATGGGGCTTGGAAGATATAGGCTAAATGTTAAGGCGAGGGCTGGGGCTGTAGCTCCATGGTAGAGTGCCTGCCTAGCATGCATGAGGCACTGGGTTCAATCCTCAGCATCACATAAAAATAAATAAAATAAAGGCATTCTATCCATCTACAACTACAAAAAAAAATTTAAACGTTAAGGAGGAAAAGGGTCATAATGCCTGTAACTTATTTGCAAATGTTTGGGGGGCGGGGTAAAAGGAAGATGCATTAATTAGGTGGGCTAATTTCAAAAGGTGGGAAATACCCTAATAATACAGAGCATTTTGTACATTATTTTTTTAAATGCTTTCCTTTGATCCTGGGTATGGCAGGAGGGTGTGCAAGTTGTTTCCTCCCAGTCTGTGATGTTTCTTTTCTTATATGCACACCTGTGGGTAAGTGGTCTTCTTGGCCAGACATGCCTCCCTGCACTTCACCTGAAGGACATCAACCAGGCCTCACAACTTCCTGCCCCCAAAGCAGAGGGACTCATTCAATTGTCCCCATGACCAATTCAACTGCCCACGCACAGGGAGGCCCTCTCTGGATCCCCAGAGTAGCATGGAACTGAGATCCGACTGTGTGGAAAGAGTGGGAAGAACCCTGAATCAGGTGGGAAGACGTGCAACCTTGGGAGTCCTTGCCGGTCTGGCATTGCCCACCTACCCCCAGGCAACTGCAGCCACTGACGCTCTAGAAAGGATCTGGAATGTGAGGGGCCGAGTCTCCTCCATTGGCTTTTCCTTCCACCGCGCACCCATGACAAACTGTTTCCTTGCAGGTGGTGGTGTAGAGGGGTTGGGAGGTTCAGCTCCTGCCCTGGATCTCTTCTTCTTAGGAAAGCAAACCCCACATACCTGATCTTGTGCTTCCATCATTAGAGCCAATTCCTTCAAGTTTTCTGCTGTCTCCAAGTGCCCTCTACTGGCTACAGGAAATATATTCTCCCATGATTTTAAAATTACACCACCCCCCACCACACACACACACCACCTCAATTCAATCTCTAATATGAGCCTTGCAATCAGTTCAGATAATTCAGATAGACTTTTCCTCTCCACCAACTTTTCCCCGGGTGGTATCATATCTGGGTGGAGGCACTTGCTAGAGCTGTGGGGGAGGCTGTGTTATTTCCTTTGTACTGTTTGCAAGGCCCCCTGGGACATACCTGCCTGCCTACCTGCTCCTAGGCAATGTATCGAAGTGACTCCCACACAGATCTGGGGCCAATACTTTGAGATCTCCTGGTACTTCCCTGCTGAGGCCCACCTGCTGCCATTTCTAACTTTCTCATTGCCCAATGTGGTTGCTGCCCCGTGATGGGTGAGAGTAACCCATGGAGGAAGGGTTCTAGAACATCTCTACTTTCCCAGGCTCCCTGCAAAACTAGCTCATCTGTCCTTGGATCCTCAGACTCATCCGGGGCTTCTCCTATAACCTTGGACTCAGCTCATGGACAGGGATAGGTGAAGGGCTCTTACATCTGATGTAAGTGGAATCCCTCTCCAAACTCCTCCTTCCCTTGTCTACTTGAAGAACATTTATCCAGTTCTTGTCCTAGGTGATTGGCAAGTGGGATTAGCAGGGTCAAATAAGCAAAGAAAAGAACTGGCTCAGCAAGTTTCCCTTCCAGATTGTTTGGTCTTACTCCAAACATACACTTAGGTTTTTCTTTCATCATAACCAGAAACCAAGAATTTGACATCTTTATTTTGGGGTCCTGGCAACAGTCTCTTTGACAACTTCCCCCTGGAGCCATAGCGTCCCCTAATTGAACTCTCTGGGCAGGGGGTTTGCTTGGGACACACACAAAGAAATTCAGCAGAGAACAGGAAAGAAACAGAACCATCTCAGACATCCTCCTGCCACACCCACACGACAGAAGAATGCACTTTGTAGACTGTGAAACCTCTATTAGGGTGCTTCCAACTTTTTACGATTAACATTTATTTTTTTGCATCTTCTTTTTGAAAAATCTTTTTTTTTTTTTTTGCTTTTTTCCAAAAACACTTGAAAGTGACTTGTGGACATGAAGTTCCTTTATCTTAATTCATTAACACACATCTCCTAGGAAACAGGCCAGGCTCTCATATAACCACAGTATAAATTATTGAAATTTCATATTGATGTATTATTTTAAAATATGTGCTCTATATTCAAATTTCTTTGACTGTCCCAACATTATCTTTTAAAGCATCTTTTCCAGCTAAGTATCCAATTCAGATCATGAGTTGTTTTAGTTGTCTCTTTATCCTCCTTTAATCCAGAACGTTTCGACCTTTCTTTCACATCATTGCCATTTTCAAAAACACAATATTTTATCACCTTCATGATTCAGGTTTTGCATTTGTGGCAGGAAGAGCACAGAAATAATGTGCCTTCCAATATGTCACACATCAGGGGACACTAGTATCACTTTGTCCCATTTTGGGGTAATGAACCTTACATTTCATGATGAACTTAAAGTAGGGTGTCACAATTCTCTCCACTGCACAGATGCTAGCCCCCGCCTTTTGTAAATTAACAAACATTCTGTAGGAAGATATGACTCTCCTGCTCCCTAACAAATTCTCACCCAATGGTTTTAGTATCCATTCCTGTCTGAATTAGCTATGAGAATTATAGCTGCACATAGTAGGTCTTTCTAAATTCTAAATTCCCACTTGGCAAATCCTGCCCATCCTTGAAGACCCAATACCAGGTCACCAGGCCTCAAAGCCTTGCCTGCCCCTGCTGAGCAGATAAACCACCCATTCTTTCTCTACCCTTCAAGCAAGTTAGAATGCAGTTGTCTGGCCTTCTCAGGGAGAGCCTGGGCAGGGAACCAGCCCTCCTGCACAGAACTCCCACCTTACACAGCAGTTCTCAAACTTCAGTGTGCCCTAGAATCACCTGGAGGGCTTTTTAAAACAGTTCCCTGTTCCCTCCCCTGGGGATTCTGGGACACCCTCCAAAAATCTTACTGGTTTGACACAAACGCTTAGTTAGTTCTCTTTCAGATGACAGGTCTAACACAGGTTCATGGGGAATACTCGTCCACGTACTTGGAGATGCTGGATGATGGAGACTCCACCATTCCAGTGTGTGGCTTTGAGCTTTAACACACAGGAAGAGAGGAGCATGCAGAACCATACCTGGGCTTCCTGCTGCTCACAGCCCACTGGCCTGCTCAATGGCAGTGGCTGGGAAATATGGTGATCAGATGGACTCTTTGGTGAGTATCATGGTTTCTTTGAACCTACAGCATTCCATTATCCTACCAGCAAATGACCACTTGGGCCCTCTTTCTGTGATCCTCACTTTTCTATCCATGGGTCTTTGCACCAGCTCCTCTCTCTGCCCAAACACACCCAGGCAAATCTCACATGGCTGATTCAATGCCCCTCCCTGGAGAGGCTTTCCCTGATTGCCCAGTCAGAAGTGGCTGCCCCTCCCTCACACCCCTCTGCTGTAATTCTCTGCATAGCCCTTCTTATTCTGTCGGGTGTTGTCCTTCTCCATTCGGTAGATTGCATACTCCATGACAGCAGGACTCCTCTTGTTCATCACTGTCCCTCTAGTACCTAAAACATCTGGCACATGATAAGTGCTCAAAAAATACTTTCTCAACTAATTAACCCAAAGGTGTGATTACTGTCCCCATTTCACAGATTCAAAAGGGAGGGCCTAAAGAGGACAAGTGGTTTGCCCAAGGTCACACCAATACCGAATGGTGGTACCTGGTTTTAATCTATGTGCCATGTCCCACTAGCGCTGACAGGGTTTCATGGCCTTCACCTACCAAGGTGGCAGAATAAGTTGCATCCGAGCCTTTCCTTCTTCTCTCAACTGCCCCTCGGTGGGCCTCCACTGTTCTTGGTTCTTAAGTCTCTTAACACGACTCCCCAGAAGGCAGTTGGTAATGTTTGTCTGGGAACTGGTTTCACAGATGTGCTCACATATGTGGGAAATCACATACATGCAAGCGTTTTTCACTCCAGTGCTGTGATAGCGAAAGATTAGAACTGACTCCATGACCATCTGTACTGTTTGCACTGTGGTAGGTGTGCACAGTGGAACAGGGTGTAGCCCTGAGAGGGGAATCAGATTTTGACTGGGAAAGTGTCTCATCATAAGATATCTCATGTAGGAAGAAAGGGAGGCTATTGCAGCACGGGCAGTGTATGCCTTTCACTTTCCCCAAAAGAGATGAACACCCTCAAGTCTGAGAAACCCATCTCCTTGATGATGAGAAGACACTAGTCAGAAAACTAGGGTGGTTTCCATCATTTGAATTTATTTTATTGATACTCGTTCGCGAATAAAATTTTATTGATTTTTTGATGCATTACAACTCACTTTTTGGTAGTGGTTGCATAATGTTGATCATTTAATTTATTTACTATACTAAATACTGCAACCTCTGAATTGCCCATTTTTACACTGGTGTTCCTGATGGGTGGGTCCTCTCTGAATACATAAAGTGGTCCAATCAGTCCATGGTTTTTCATATTCCTTTGTTATTCAACCTACTGCTTTAAAATACATTCAAATAAAAAGGTGTAAGTTACTTGCAGAGTACGGACACACTAGGGTGAGGGGAAATTGAGAACATAACCAGTGCTCTCACAGTCAGAGGACAAGTGGTTTTGAAATCATGGGATCGAAGCTTGCTCCACCGGGACTTCCTCAAAGAATCCTTGGTGGACGTAAGGTTAAACTCACTCAACTGAAGCTCACATCTTTAGCTGGGAGGGAGGGCACAGGATGACAATTTCAGGTATAGAGGATATTATCCTTCCACAAATATCCGGAACAGGTGGTCATGGAACACCTTGGTGGGCAGTGTTCCCAGATTAGAATAAATAAATTATCTGCTTGGATTGCAATGCCACAGACACACAGACTGGAGCTGGAAGGGTATTTGCTTAAAATATGGCACACACGGGTAATAAATAAAAGTTCACAACTTACTCGGCTACAGCAACAAGACCAGGCTCTCTTGTTGGTTTGTGGTTCTTTTCATAAGCACCTCTAATCTCTCCCTAAGCACAAAAGGAGGCACAAGGAGACAAAGGGCTTTGGGGGGAAGAAACTATCTCATTGTGTTTTGAAACAAGAGGGCAAATGTGTGGGCACTGAATGGCGACCCCATGAGTAAAAGTGGGTTGCCCATTTCAGAGTGAGGGCTTGAGCCAGCCGAAGGCCGATGCCCGATTCCTGTCCTGACCAGATGGGTACGGTTTAGCTGGGTTTCTTCTCCTTTACCTTTACTGTTGAAAATTTTCTTGAAGAACCCTTTTTCCTATCCCCTTTCCTCAGTCCTGCTGTTAGAGTTGTCTTGGGTCTGGCCTTCAATCAACCTGCTTGTGACACTGGGTCCCAGAAATAAGCTGCTCTCTCATTAGCAACTCGGTGTGTTTGAAATCTGCATTTTGGTGTCATGGAACCAAACAGACAACAGACACTGCCGGTACCATTGCTTCCCTGCATGTATAAAAAAAAAATGGAAAAAATAAAACAAAACGTCACACAGAACACAGAGGGACTGCTGAACAAAGCAGTGGGAGTGTGAATACATTCTCTTCCGGGTCAGCCTTGTGGTCTGACAGCTGATTACAAAACACAGGATGACTTCAAGCTGAAGGCATGAAAAGAAAAGATCACACCTAGAAAAGGAAAACAACTGTCCACTGAGGCAGAGTAGTGACGGTCTTGAAGAAGCTGGGCCACCCGTAAAAGAAAGAAAAGCTCTCGATTGTGAAAAGCTACAGCCAGGTGCGTGTGGCCAGGATGGAGGCCCCTTAGGCTCTTAGGGTGGGCGAGGCATCCAAGGACCCCCCGGGGCACCAGATGCATTATGACCTGGGCCGCTTGACAGCCCGTGGGGTGCGGTGGGGAGCTGTCAGACACCGGATTCACTGGTTCCTATCCATGGGATAAGAACACACTTGGGAGTTTCAGTGCTTCTCAAAAGTAAAGAAGAAAGGACACCACCATTCCCAGACTCCACAGGTAAAGTCCTCACCAGAGGACAGCGCAGGGACACTTCCTGTGGAACTGGAAGAAAGGGCGGGGCAGACACAAGGTCTCCAAGTCCTATGTACACACTTTTTACAAAGTTCCACTCTTCCCCCGTTAGGCACAAGGTTGATTTGTCTAGCTCAGGAGGTGGACAGGGACGGGAAGAGGGGGAGAGTGCACTGCAGGGGGAAGGGGAGGCAGGGAACAGGGTGGAGAATGCCCATCTCCTCCGGGGCACAGGCCCCCCAACCTCACCGCAAGCTAGTTTGTTTGGGGAGCTTAGCACCCATCAAGATGCCCGAGGTGAGAGTCACGGGGGCTTTCATCTGCATGCTGGATCCCACCATGGTGGGGAAGCTACGATTCCGTCGGATGCCACTATTGAGCTGCAGTCCACCGATGGCACTGGTGACGGTGGGACATCCGAGAGGCAGGCCCTCAGGTACCAGGCCTCCAGGAACAAGGGCTTGTGCTGGTCCTGGGGGCCCACAGAGGAGAGGTCCCTGATCTTCAGTCAAGGTGGGGACATGGGCTCGCCCTGAGTTCACCACTTTGGCCACCCCAAACCTCCTGACTTTGTCCACGAGGTTGAGGTTGGAGACGGACACGTCTGTCTGGCTCTCGCTGCTCCTGACGTTCTTCTTTTCTCTCACCTCCCGCAGGATGGAGCTGGCTGGCTTGGAAGCCAGGAAGTTGTCGTAGGGAGGGCTCGTGCACTTGAACTCAAAGGAGGGCGGGGAGGACGTGGGTGTCTGCATAGGCGAATTCGGAGGGGTAGAGGGGATCACGGCCATCTTGGGAGTGTAGGAGTGCAGGAGGGAGCCCCGGGCGGCCCTGTCCCAGCTCTGTGGGTCATACACAGCCGCAGAAATGCCCCGCTCCTTTAGCAGCCACACCAGCCCCAGGGATGTGCTCATGGTGGTTGTGGACTCCCGGATGTTAGTGAAGGACTCGGCCAGGCTCAGTCTCCGTGGAGTGCACGGCGTGGCCACTGGTGTGGACTTCAAGTGGCTAGTGCTGCCACAAGCTGGAGTCGGGGCCGAGTTAAGGCTGAAAAGAAAAGACGACAGGTGGTGGCCCATCAGAAATGCCCGTGAGCACCATGGGAAGGGTCAGTGGTCATTCCACAAGGTGGACCTGGGATATAATAGGAGGACTCCCTGCAATGGGAGCCCCAGACACCTCTGTCCACATCTGTTCCTTCCTCTCACCCATGGAGGCTTGGGAATCCCTTAAGTAGGGCCCTGGTATGAGTTGATGGAAGGTGCCTGCGATTCCCTTTGCTCTCCTCTGGTGGGTGGTGTAACTGTTCCCCTTGCAGACCAAGAAACAGCCTCCAAGGTTAGGTGGCTTCTTAGTCACGCCTGGGTATTAAGTGGATAATCCCAGATTTAAAGTCTGAGTGACCCCAATGCTCTCAGATGGGGAAAGAAGTTGATTGGCAAAGAGGCCTTCCTCCCCCACCAAATCCACTCAAATTCCAGTGTTCCCTCCTAATCCCTACTTCTCCCTCAGGCAAGACACTAACCAGAACTATGGAATACAATGGCTTATTTTGGAAACAGCAAAAATGGCCCCAGGGGTGGGCCAAGGCCAGGTGGCGAGCACCTCAGCCTCCTGAACACCAGGACAGTGCTCTCTCCTCTGCACCTTGCTGCCCCTCACCACCTTCACATGCTGTCCAAACCCATTTTGATGAGCGGAGTTATGAGGTCAGTGGAAGGAAGCCATGCCCTGTATTATGGGACCTTCATCTACAGAGTTTCCCAGCTTCAGGCCCCCGAGTGACTAAAGGAAAGCTGAAAGACTCTTCCTTCACTCAGTGTCATGCTGAGGACCCCTAGGGGCCCAGCAGCTGGGGTCCAGCTGCAACAGCCACTAGGACAAAGAAGTCTACAGGAGGGGAAGCAGGGGGAAAGGCTTTTCTGTCTGCTTATGAAAACCAGGAAGACTGATTTTTAACAGCTGCTCCAGGGATTGGGGGGCGCAAATAGGCACGAGCCCTGCCCTGCTTCTGAATGAGCAGCCAAGGGCAAAGGAGTACCTCCTTCCAAAGGTCTCCTGGGACCTGCCCTCCGATTTGGCATAGGCAGGTCAGGTGAGTGTCCCCAGCCTGGCCAGGGGAGGCCCAAATACCATGGGCAGAGCACCAACCATGGAAAGGGAAGGTAGGGGACCCCTTCTGGAGCAGGTCCCTGGAGTGACCAAAGGGGCCCTTCCTGGGGAAACAGTTCAACAGGAAATACAGGCTGGAAACACCATGTGGCTCCACACTCAGGTGACCTCACCACTGGCCAATCAGCAAGGGCAGTGACCATAGAACAGGCCCATCTCCCACAAGCTAAGGAGGGAGTAAGCTGGCCGATCAGGAGTACTCTGAGAAATGTGAGATTAGAAACCACAGCATATTCCTGTGGTTGAAAATGTGGATTTTGTAAAGGCACAGGGAGAATTTTACAAATATTGATGTATCATTAAGACAGGGTTTAAAAAAAAAAATTCTAGACTCAAAACCTTGTGTGACCATCCTCAGGGAAATTTAATTGTGTTTCTGGCTACCTTTCTTTCCAACTCTGGTAAGAAAGCCCTTCCATACTCCTGACTTCCTATGGTTTTCCTGGTCTGGGACATAGCTGGGTGGTCTTCCAGATGAAGATCCACTTGGGTGCAGTCTGCATCCTGAGGCTGTAGTCAGAAAGGGCATCTAGTTGCCCTGCACCAGCCTTCACTGGGGAGCTGAGTTCTACGGCTTTAAAGACAGTCTCTTCCAAACACAGAGCCACAGGATGGGAAAACCAGGTTCTTCTGGGCCAGAGGGGAGATGGAGAAGACAGAACTAAAATTTAGAGATCCACAGGATGAGACCTTCGGGTTAGGCCTGTATTAGCACTGGCACTCGACTTGCTGGGGCAGTTTAGAGGGTTAGGGGTGTGGACGGTCAAGGCTCTGTTAGCCAGGCACAACCACAGAGACACATCCAAGCCTCAGTCCCCAGGTTAGTGGCGGCCACGCGTGCACACACAGCTCTTTCCATGTGACCTGCCAGGGCAGGCACTGCTGGCCGTGTGCTCACCCCCTGCCTCGCCAATGGGCTCAGACTCTCTGCCCTACATCTCCTCTCAGCTCAGCGGGGCACAGGGCTGCTTCGTGGTCCTCCTCACATGACCTGTGGAGAATTATTCATAGTTTAAGGTGCTCCTGGGGGTGGCTGCTCCCTCCAAGTTGGCCCTTCTCACCTCCCTCCCTTTCAGCCTTACCTTCCATAAACCTCAGGATCTTGCTTGATTGTACCACAGAGGGAATGGCTCAGGGGGGCATTCTGCTATGTTGGGGAGACCACTTTCCCTTTCACTGGAAGGTGTGGAGGGAAGTTGTGCAGCTGATCAAGCCAAACAGACCAACCCACGACATACAAGGCCTCTTGCCAGATGCTGCACCAGAAGGAATTGACCATGCTGGGCTCTGGCTTGGTCTTGGAGACTCCTTTTTATCATTTGGGTCATTATAGTCTGGCTGTGGTGCATGGTTCCTGGGGCCTGTTCCAGAGGTACAAGGGCTTCCACAGAGCTCCGTAACTCCACCATGAAAGAACGCCATGCTCTACTGGCAAGCTCTGGGGCAAACATCCAGCAGATTTGGCTGCAGGTCTGTTGGATATCAATTGTTTGCCTGTTAAGGAAGGGGCTGAGAATACATTCTAGGGCCAAGAAAAGGGCAATGAAAGGTGGGTTGAGGTTTCTCCACCTGCGCTGCATCTGAATCAACAGGAGCTTCAATTCAAAAGCAAAGATCTGACTCAGCACAGGTGACTATAAATGCTCCTAAAATGCTCAAGCTGGCTAGAGTTGGCTTTTGAATGAGCTCCTTGACCTCACTTTGCTCCATAGGAAGCCTTGCAGGAAAGGGAGTGCCCGGGTTCACCCCACCTCTGCCCACCAGGGGCCAGGGACCCTTACCTTGGTGTGACCCGCGTGAGCTCGTCTGAAGGATGCAGGATGCGACAGGTGGTGAAGGTGAAGGTGGAGTTGGTCTGTGACATGCACTTCCCAGGGTGGTGCGCTAAATCGGGGGACAAAACATATTCCTTGCATCCAAGTATACCACGGTAAAAACAAAACTCCAGCACAGCCCTGAGCAGATGCAAGAAGTGATGAGCTACCTTGTTAACTGGATCTGGGTGAGGAAGGTGGTCCCTCAAAAAACGACCACATTTTTGAGCACTGGTCTGCAGAACATCGGATCCCAGCTTCCGGCCCAATCCAGACAGGGTTCCTCATCATATTCCTGGGCCAGTAGTGGATCCAGTTCCAGGGGGAGGTACTAATGGGCCTTGGGGGTAAATTTGGTTTTCCTCCACAGAGGTCAGGATCTGCTTTCTTCTTTTGTTGCTTTACATGGGCAAACAGGTGCCAAAACTCGGCCCAGGGGAGGGGATGGAGCGGGCGGGGAGAGGCACTTGGCACCTGGCAGTTAGGCAAGGCTTGTGGTGCTCCCTTTTCTGCTCACACAAAAAGGGGCGCGGGAAGCTGGCTCCACTACTGTCCACCTGTGATTGACATGGTGGGAGGTGGCGATCTCAGCAGCCTCAATAGCAACCTGGCAAGAGTTCCAGAGATCAGGGCCCTCTGGGGTGCCCCAGCTCCAAGAAGTGTCTGACACACAGTGGTGCAAGTGGCATCACTGCTCCCTCCTTGACACCTCCCCCTGGCTCCTTTCTTGCCGTTTCTAGGATGTCTGATTTCAAGTGAAGTCGAGAGAGCAACAAGGGTTCCTCAATTTATTTCCTTTTAATGTTCTAACAGGTTGTTGTTGAGGCGGCTGAAGATTGTGGTCTGGAGCAAAGTAAAATCACAGGTATTAAGACCATGCATCAGAAAGCTGGTGAAGGAACAAGTAGTTATGAGACATCATGATTGTAGAGGTCATCCTCATTCATAACTCAAGCATTAGGGGAAAAAAAGAAAAAGAAAAAAAGAGGCTGCACCAAAAAGCATGCACAATGATGTCCTGGGATGATCCCCCCGACCCTCCCCACCCACCTAGGCCCCTGCAGCAGCTCAGCCCCCCAGAGACCTCCTGGGAGAAAACGGATTAGGATCTCAGAGGCCATGAGGAGTCAAAGGCCAGGAAGATTCCAAAGGCTGTGAACTAGAAACTTCTAGCTCCTTATGGGACGTTTTCTCTCGGGTTTGACAAAAAAAAAAAAAAAAAGAAAAGAAAAGAAAAAGGCAAACAAAACATAACTGATTGGTGCCCCAAACCCTACAGATCCACACACAGCTGACTGTGTCATAAAAGAAAACCAGGAACCAGATGAAACAAACAACAAATGATAACCAAAAAAAAAAAAAAAAAATGGGAGGCACATACATTGAAGGAAGTGAGGACAAAGCCAAAGCACAAAAATGGTGAGCGGGGCCAGAGGAGCAAGGCAAGACTGCTGGGCCCCAACTGTGGTCTGGTCGGGCTCTGTGTGTCAAAGGAGGCTCCCGTGGCCCCTGGCACGGCAATCAGCCCCACAGCCACTGGGAGCTCCAGGCAAATGGGAGGGAGAGGGAAAAATAAAAAAATTTAAAATAGCCTTTATGAATCTTTGTTCCTCAAGCAATAAATGCAATGGTTCAGGAACTCAGATAACCGAGAAATTGCTGCAAGCCAAACAAAAATGGACGAAGCTATGAAGAGAAGGCAACCGAACAATCACGATTCTCTTGCTGCAATAAGGTCTAGAAACAGAAGCAGCAGAAGGCCTGGAAAAGCCATCCCAAATATCAGGGATGATGGGTTATTCAGGAAGGAGAGGGGGGAAAAAGCAGTCAACAGGTAGAATTAAGACAAAACAGTTGAAAGAGAGAGAACATTAAAAAAAAAAAATCAAATAAGGCAAGGCTGAATTTAACATTAGAAATGTACCCCCATTGAAACACATGGCCAGAATATCAAATGAAAAGGTCACAAATGCACACTTTCTCCTCCACCCCATTAAGTATTAGATCTTTGATCACAACAGGTAGTATAAGGATGTTTTAGAGATACAGTTGCATCAACAGAAGCAAAACCCATCTTAAACAAATGGGTTTTGGGGATAAGAAAAGGCTGCTAAAAATTCAGAAGTCACCACTCCCCAGAGCAATGGATAGCTTTAGAAGATCAAGGAAGATCAACAAGGGTCAAAAGTGCCAAAGCGGGAGATTCGGCCCCTCCAAAATACCACTGGGATGCCTGGATGCGGGAGCTCTCCCGTGTCATCATGGATGGCCTGGCCGCTGCTGCACCTCCCTTCCTTGGGATGACACAACACAGAGACAGTGAGTCACCTGGGGATGGGCTTGCCGGAGCTCCTCGTGCTTGCCACAGAGAAGCAAAGGGATGCTTGCTACAACCCTGGGTGCAGGAAGAGAGAAGATTCCCAAACCAAGAGACAAGTAAAACCTTCTTCTTGGCAGGCAGCAGGGGCTCAGGGTGAGGGTTCACTCTGGAAGTCACCAAGACTATTTCACACACCAAAGCCCCTGCCCCTCTAAACAAGTTCTTTTCAGAAAATGGTAATGTGGGTTCATCTCATGCTACTCACTTTGGGGACACGAAGGACAGGACTTCTTAGAATTAATGCTTTCTCTACTTAAATTCTTCCTCTCTCTCAACCTGACAAGAAGGCTTCTGGGTGCTACAGTGGATGAAGGAGGTATTACACTTGATCTCAGTCAAAAGGCTGAGATGCGATTAATGTGCAGAGATTAAAATGTATTAATTTACATTTACCAATAAAGAGCCCCAGACTTTTCTTAAATTCAATTGCTTTTCCTCTCCCTGAATTCTGATGCTGATACAGAATCTGGTAAGTTTTTAACTCAGTTAATCCTCGATTATTCAAACTCTTCTACGCTGGCAAACTGTAGGTAGTTAGCTTGCAGGTTTTTTCTTCTGAAAACACATCACACATAAGCACGCGATTTTGGTGAGCAGCAGGTACACACACTGAGGGCTTTCTACGGCTGAGAGTCACCCTTCTCTCCTGTTCTCTGATGCAACCCTGGTGCGTTTTCTGCCTGGAGTAAGTGGCGCTGACTACCCATGCTCCATGATGCCTGGTCCTGACTGGAGAACTGAGTAACTGGGATTCTTTGGCTGCCACCAGTGGTAGTAACACAGCAGTAGAGTTGCCATATAAATCTGGATGGCTGCTGCCTTGTGGAGCAATCAGGCCTCCTGAAGACTCAGGTTAGAAAGCCCACTGTCTCTCTACAGCCCAAAACAGAGGAGAGGAACACACACAAGGCTGGGGTGCTCTGGTGGGCCCAGAATCTCCACAATGGCTGAAGGACGACTCCATCTGCTTGCCCACAAAACACATTGACTCATACATTTTAATCAGTCCCAGTGGCGCTCCCCTCCCATCCTCTGGGAAGGGCAAATTTGAAACGTGCTAGGTTCAACAAAAGTTTTTTGCTCTCTAAAAGCCAACACAGAATCTAGTCCTTAAAAGAGCCCTGCCATGAGACACAGAGTTATGGAAGAGAGCAACTTCACTGGGTGTGTCTCTAGGGAGATGCAGCACACACCCAGCTGCTTCAAGAGAGGTCTTTAAGATGGAGAAATACTGGCCATGCCATGCACCCAAACCATTTTTTTTAAAGGCACATAAATAATTTCTAAAAATACCTGCGGTGCAAATTTCTTTTCAAATGCATCTCAAAATCTTGGACAAGAAAAAGGGACCCTGTCTTTGTGGTGCACGGAGGCCTTCTATTTTCTCTTCCCCACTCTTCATGGAAAGGACCAACTTATATGAAATGAAGGAAACGACCTTGAGCTTTTTTCCTTTTCTTAACCTGACCATGTAGTGTTGAAGCTGTTGTCAGGACTTGGGTCTTTGTAATTTCTATAAATTCATAACCAACATACGTATACGCTCCTCCCTGCACCGGTTATTCCAGTAGCTGCCACATCAGGGGTGGCACCCAGGGGCCAGGCTTTTCTATCCAAGCAAAAACAAAGCTACTGTCAGTAAAAGCCACTGTCAACCCAACGTAAAGGCATGGCTTGAACTAAGCCCTAAAAATATCAGTACATCTTTTTAAAATGCTTGGCTTGTAATGAATTTTGAATTTTGCTTAAGGGGGAGAGGAGGGGAGAAGAAGGATATCTCCCTGCCTGTCAGCTACATGAGAAATAGCTCCCTTTCCATTAACCTCTCCCCGCCAACAAAAAAGGCAAAGCAATGCCTTAGAATTTCTGCCTAAAAGACTAAAATACCAGGGCATAGAAAAATGCTTTAAAGATTTTCCTGCCACTTCATTATATAACTCTGCCTATGAATTTTTCTGGGGGAAAAAAGTTCCATGATGAATTCATACACAAAAACTTCCATAAACTCTCATGTGCCCAACAATCCATCATTAATACCGATATGGTAAGAGTGATCAATGTGGTTTCAACTGCATTTCCCTTGGAGTGGGGGATATTATGAAGAGTGGGTTCAGATAAAGTGGCTCATCACTTTAAAAAAAAATAAGATAAAAAGTCACTTTAAACTAAAAAGTACTATACAACTATATAATGATACTTTTTAAGCCCTTGCGTTCCAGGCCTCACATGGGCCAGGTAACTCTTCTCTGTTTCTCAAACATTTCTTGGACACAGCCCTGATCTGGTCCTATAACTCAGAGGAAACTCCAGGGCCCCTGCTAGTCAGGCACATGGAGATTTTAAACCTCATCAACATAGAATCTTTTTCCAGTTTCTGTACAACTTATTCTTGGTTCCTGCAACATTAAAAGTCTAGTCATCCTACTCCACCAAGCTATCTACTGTCTTTCATCTAAAAAGTATGTGATTTAAGAGGTGAACAATTTCACAGCATTGTGCAGAGGGCCAGAAAATCTCTCAAATGCCCCTGGGGTATCATCTAGAGAAGAGATTTTTTTAGAATGCTGTTAAAATGTTAAAAGGGCAAGTACAAAAATCTCCATGGATCCTTTGGATGTCAACAAGCTGACCTGCATGCCCTCTGTCTTTTTGTCCTTCTTTCTGTGGCTGACACCAATAAGCAGGGGAGCTCGCCTGGCTGAGCTGTCTGGAGACCTTTCCGGCTAGCGTCTTCAAAGCCAGTCCAAGAGGGCACTCCTCCCTCGCACTGAACCCTGACAGGCGAGTGCTTCCACAAAGGCCCCTCCATCTAAGAAGAGTCAAGAGCTGATGCCCACCAGTCAGCACCCATGTGGGAGCCTCTGGACTCTGGAGGGACCTCCTGTGGTTCTCCCAGGTAAGGACACCCTAAAGAAACTGCTTTCAGCAAGTGCGCTCTGCTCTGGAAGTTCTAAGCAGGGCTGACTCTATGCTGTTGGTTTTCAATTCTCTCCTTCTTCATTATTCGACTTCCAGGCTACAGTTGGCTTTCTCCGCTCTGGCTTCCCATTCACGCTGATGCAAGAGCACAGGGGCTTCCTTCGTAGGTCCTGATGTGGGTGGGTGGGGGCAGACTGCAGTAGAGCCAGGCTGGATCAAAAAGCGCTTCCTCCCACAAGACACTGGGAAGGAACTTCCCTACACCAAAGACATCTGAAGGCCTGTCAACCAGTGTACCAGCCTTTTCTGTCTGGTTCTGCTGGGTCCCTGGGCCACCTTTCCTTCACGAGCTTATCTGGACCCACTTCTGTGGACATGAGTGAGACTGAAAGCAAGACAGGATACAAGCTGATGAATGTGTACTGCAACTGGCCCCTGCCCTGTGATAAAGCTATAGGAACACATGGCTGCCAGAACTTTCTGTCTGGCTCCTTTTCCTACGCTCTGTAACTGCTCCTGAACGGAATTTGGACCTATGCATAAAACAAAGATGTGATGAAAGCTGATTCTTGGTTCTCACCTCTGGTGGCCAGGTGTTGGAGACTTAGGGAAATTCTCAAGGCCTGTTTTGACCAAGTGTGACCGCCTTCCAATACCAACTTCAGGATCTCAGCCCCAGTTATGACACATCTCCATTGCAGGGTCACTCACTACCAGATCAGATGCCACGGTCTGCATGATTCGTTTCTCCAGGTAAAATGGGCTCCATGTGTATAAATGCTGAATAGACTGACCTGCAACGTCTTCTGTGGGCATAGCTTTAATCCCACACTTTCTTCACCTTTAAGGATCAAGGCATCCAAGATAATTCACCTGAATGGTCCATCCGACCAGCCAACTACTGATGTAACTGTGTGAATTTAACTCTTAATCATCTGCCACATAGAGGCTCTTCCCTACACATGAAAATCTAAAATACAGAACACTGTCAGGACAAGATATGGACTGTTTCTAATCAAGGGCATTTTCTATGTGAATTAGAACAAAAAACATGTCACTGAAATAAAGTAAAACTATAATCTAAATATTGTTTAAAACAATCCATTTTAATCATCTAAATTATTTACAATACAATAACATGGATCCTTTTAAAGACATTGGATTTTTAAAAAAATCACCAAGTGATACTTCAAATAACACATTAAAAATATATTAATAAAATTTTTTCAGTGCTCAAAACTCCCCCCACCCCTGACGTGGGGCAGCAGGCTCTAGACGAAAGTGTCTAATATACAAATCTTCCCAGTTTGCCCATCACACCAGTTGTTAAGGAAAAAGATTAATCAACTTGTTTTTAAAATTTCTCCCTATGAAATTTTCCTAGACAGAATGGCGGATCCCAGGACTGTGGCTAAGTGTGGATGATGGACCAAAGCAGAGACCAGACCAGCTGGATACAAATCCCCAAACAGAGGATGCCCCAAGTCTTCCCACCGAGGCTTATCTGTCTTCCTGTGACTCACTGGTTGTATACAGAGAGTCACTTGGAGCCTTGAGGATGATTTATGTACAGAGTAAAATGCTTCCCGCATTCCAAACATCAAAATGGTTCTGTCATTCCCAACAGAGAAAAAAAGAGCCAAGTCAGAGTACATCCTTCCCCCTCTGATGAGCTTTTAGAGATGGGTCTTATCAGGAAAACAAGCTCAAAAGAACTCTAGGTCATTCAAACAATGAGACCGTCCCTAAATTACTTTTAGCCACCCAGATAATTCCTTTTTGAATTCACATATCTTGAGCCTGACCCTTCTATAGTTTCAACTATAATTGTGCATGCCTCACCTCAAATAACATTGCTGGGATGGATTTGCTGCAGGTTTCAGTAAGGAGGGCCTAGGAAGAACGGTCATTGCTTATGGTGACTTTTTAGTCCTCATGACTAGTTTCCTGGCTCCTTCCCACCAGGAGCTGCTCCCTTCCTTTTTACGTAAGCCAGTGCTTATGGTTGGGACTTTAGTCCCATCACCAGTTCCCTCTCTCCCTCTGTCCTCCAAGAGATGTTGTTTGTCAACATGATAGCTTCTGTTCAACTTCTCGAAGATGCACCTAGTGATGGTCCTTGAACTTCCTGGATTCACTTTCTACCTGTAAAGCTGTGGGGAGGGCACTGTCTACCCTTTCAGCACAAGTCACTCAGACACTGTTCTTCAAGGACACCTGCCTGCCAGATGGCCACTATGACAGGGGTAGGATGGATAACACGGCCAGTTGCCCTTTGTTGACTGTGTAGATACTACATAGATAAGCATCTTCATTTTTGCACAAACTTAATCTGGTAACTTAATTGCTTTAAAAAAAATCAAACCATAAATAAATCTAAATGCTAAATAACTCTCAACTTTAACCTATGGCTCCTTGGAAGTTGACAACAAAGGAAAAAGAAAAGTCAGGCCCAAATCAAGTCTCTTGACCACAGTTACCAGAAATTAGCCAAGGGATGGGAGACACCACCAAGAACCTTGGTTCCTTCCTGCCTTGTGTTTTTGTGGGGAGTGTTGGAGTCTCTGCAGATGAAAATTGTGAATCACAAAGATGAATGTCCTTCCTTCAAACGTGGTGACTCAGAAATGTTACAAGGACGACAGCACCTTTTCAGTGTCTGTCCCCTTATCACACAGAGCTTTGCAGCATGTGGATCTGGGAGATCCAGGAAGAGTAAAGGGTAACTATCTGGGGCATATGGTGACCACAGACCCATGCTCTCAGGGCCCTGAGTAGAAAGCTTCCCATTCTAGGGGCAACTGAGATGTGGGTCATTCTACAAACTCAGTCTCACCTTCAGAGACTGGGGTAGGGGAGTGGGGAGGCAAGATCAGCTCAATGTCTTTTCTAGTTTCATCTAGAGACCTCTGGAAGAATTTAATGACATTCTGTTAGGGTTTATTTGGTTAATCACTTTGAAAAATTCCACTTTGAACATGTGTAAGCTAGAAAGAAAGTGACATATATGCCTTCATTGAAGTAATTAAAGTCAAAAGGCTGGTCTATCAAGTGTTGTCTGGAATCCTGAAAGTTTTCTGGGCTTCTCTTTATCTCAGTGCAACCCACAGGTAACAGATTCTGTCATTTGCTTTCAGAATGACCCAGAACTCACAATTCCCCTAGCACTGCCCAGGTCAGCCCCGTTCAGTTGGGAAATCACTCTAGAATCTGCCCCTCAGACATGGGGCGACACCGATAACAGGAAGAAGGGTCCTGATGTTCTTGGGAGGCCAATAACCCACTTCTTTTTAGCAGCCTCTCCTGCTCCCATTTAAAAATCCCTGCACCTCCAAGATGGGCAGGGGCTACGCCCATTTGTTACAAAAAGGAGGCATGAGACTCTGTATTAAAAAACAGAACGGCACAATGGGAATGCTTTAATTGTCACCCACACAGACGAGCGGAAGCTACAGACAAAGAGCCACTACAGATGATGCCCGGAACAGAAGTGAGAATGGCCCAGAACTCTGCCTCTGGTAAAGGTGCCAGGTTTACAGGACTTATTGTGGTGCCCTCACCAGACCCCTCCTCCTCCTCCTCCTCCTCCTCCTCCGTGGCTGCTGGCATCTCCTGCATCTCCTCTGGGGAAGCCTGAGGCCGGCTCGGGTAACTTCTGCTGCCTGAGACAGTCACGTGTGCTCGGGACCTCTCACCTGAGGTCTCTGGGTGCTGAACTGGCGTGGAGGTAGCTAGGCCCGGGAGAGAAATGTGGTCACCTGTGTCATCTTCTTCAAAGTCGTTAAGGCAGTACACTTCATCCAGGTCAACATCCAGTGTCCGGAAGCCCTTGGTGACCACACCGGGCCGGGGGTCCAGGATGCCCCCAAGGTGAGGCTGGGCCAGCTGCTGCCAGTGGTGAAGGGTGGCAGAACCTTGCAGGAAAAAAAAAAAGAGAGAGAGAGAGAGAGAAGGAGGGAATAAGGGGGAGATTTAGGATGGAGTCTAAGACGCTGTGGCAAGGATAACAGCACTGGGACAATTCATCTTTTTCAGGGTCTGTCCCCTTATCACACAGAGCTTTGCAACATGTGGATCTGGGAGATCCAGGAAGAGTAATGATGCTTAGTGTGAACCCAGGGTACGGCCTAGCCTGCTCTGGGACTGCAGAAGGCACATCAGTATAGCTGCCTTAGCCCTTCCTGCTGTGAAATAGTCACTAATCCCCACCACACCCAGAGGGGGCACCAATTTAAGCAATCCACCTTTTATTTGTGGGGGGGTGGTACTAGGGGTTGAACCCACGGCATCACACATGCCAGACAAAAGCTCTAGCACTGAGCCACACTCCCAGCTTCTTAATTTTTATTTTGAAACAGAGTCTTGCTAAGTTGCCCAGGCTGACCTCAAACTTGCAAACCTCCTTCAGCCTCCTGAGTAGCTGGTATTATAGGTGTGCACCACCATGTTGGGCTCAAACAATTTTTTAAGTAAAATGTTACACTGTATGTCAAGGATGTTTGGTGATGCTCTTTATTTTAATCAACCAATGCCAACGCCCCAAACCAACACAGATCATTTTACAAATACAAGAGGGAAAAAACAAGGGGCTGGGAGTGTATATATACCAATTCCGTGCCAAATCCACCCCAGGAGACACACAGAGTAAAGCAAAAGGAAATTAAAGCACATGGAGGTAAGTGGTAGTCTGATTGTCACCTCCTTTACTTGGGTTTTCTGCATTCTGCCAGCAACCTTGAAAGGCTGCAGGGTTAGGGAGGGGGAACTGGGTTGAGAGAGGTGTGATTTAAGAACACGGTAAGTCTGCACAGAGGTCTAAAGCCGAGCAGCCAATCTCTTCAGTGACACCAGACCCTGGGACTCAGATGACATTGTGGAAGGTCTGTAATAACACCGGAGTGTGTCTTTGAGGACTTCAAGGTGTCCCAGGTGCGGTACAAAGATAAGTGTTCCAAGGCCAAGCATGCTTGGGAAACCTAGGTTCAGAGGTGTGTTTGGGGAAGAACATCTCACCACCTGCTCTGGTGGCCTGAGTTTCTGCCCAGCCTATTTGATAGAACAAGCCTTTTCTCCCCTTGAAACACTTAGTCATGCCTCACATGAAACCAGCACTCTGGGGCCAGCCTGGGAGACTGGGAGTTCTGGATCTACTATATAAGGACAGGAGTCACCCAAACATAGCCACATAAATAAATACCCAATGCTCAAGACAGAGATGTTTAGAGAGGCATTAAAAGTGCTCTTAGACACCCACCTCAAGATCTGCCCCAGCCGTAAATGTGCACAGGTAGGAAGGCAACCCACTTAACCTGCATCTACTGACTATAAATAAAAAATATTCTATGTGCAAAAAAGGAAAAAGATAACACAGAGGTGAACATAACAAAAGAAGTTATATCCCAGACCTGTCAGAACATCTAAAGCAGTTGTTCTCAACTGGGGACAATTCCGCCTGCCCCCCACCCTCCGCCCCAGGGAACAGTTGCCCAAGTCCGGAGATATTTTTGGTTGTCACAACTGTGAAGGGAGAGAAGGATGCTTATGACACCTCCTGGGCAGAGGCCAGAGATGGTGCTGAACATCCTAAAATGCACAGGACAGTTCCACCACAAAGAAAGATCCAGTCCCAAATGTCACCAGCGATGAGACTAAGAAGCCCTGTTCTGGAGCTGTGGTTCTTAATGTTCAGATCTCCTGAGAATCTGAAGGAGGCCGCAGACCCTAAAGGGAGCGCATGTGCCAGCAACGTTATGCAGATATGGTCAGGGATTCGGGGGGGATCCCAAGTCCCCAGTGCCACAGCATCTTGTATCTCGATACAAAGCTACCTTGTATCGAGACACATCTGCACGCCTGTCTCAGTGTTTTGACATGCATCACATCAACTAAATGGTTTTACATATAAGTCCATTAATTCACTCCTCAAAACCACCCTAGGCAGCAAGAATTATCACTCACTCACACTTGCCAGGTGGAAAATGGAGCATTCCTGAAGTTTGATGATTTTTCAAAATCAATGAGTGATGGCAGAGCCAGGGTTCAGTGACAAAGGCCAGGTTCTTACACTGCCCCCTCCCTAATGTACAGGTCGGAGAACAAGCCAGGTCATCAGTGTTCGGCTAGGAAGCCGGGCAAGGTGAGCAGAAGTGGCTGGCCCCCAGCTGCATTAAAAAGTCAACAGCAAAATTCCCAGGTGGGTATCTAGGTCCCAGCAGGAGACCCACACATTCCTGTGGGGGCCAGGGGCTTCTCTGCCACTATCGGGACTCCCATTTATACTATCCAAGGGCCCACTGGCTGTGCCGGCACATTCCTAGCAATAAAACAGTACCAGGGAGAAGATTTAAGCCACTGTCATGTCTAACTTGGGACTGCACCCTAGGGTCTTAAATGATGACAAGAAATTCCCAGTACAACATGTCCATGTCTCCTCGACCTGTGGAAGGGAGGCCAAGAGACTCTGGAAAGTGAAGAACAGTGGAAAGGAAGTGTCACCTTTCCTCATTCCTCCTAAAAGGGCTCAGGATGCTTAAAATCCACTGGGAAAGGACTCAGGGAGGTTGGAGGTCTAAGCCCTAGAAAGAGCCCCATAGGCTTGGATCTTCCACCTGTTTCACAGGTTACCCCTCACCCACCCACCCATGGATGGGGCTCTAGAAATGAGGCTACAGTGGGTCTTTTGTTTGGATTTAAGGAGGCTACAGAAATGCATGGAATTAATTCATTCCCTGAAACCACATAGCCTAAGAAACTCAGTACAATTTCCCCTGAAATATGCTGAATGGTGTATCATACTTCAATTTTTACCCCACGCCTTGGGCATCCCCTATTCACATAAGAAAAGTCGACCTTTACTGACCCTTAAGTGTCAAACACTCTTCTGAGAGGTCTATGTCTATAACCTGTTTAATTTTCACGATAACCCTGTCATCTCTATTTTACAGACAAGGACACCGAGCACAGGGAAGTAAAAGTAACTTCCAGAAGGCACACAGGTGGCAAGCAGCTCATCCGGGCCTGAAACTGAGATGGGAAACGTGTCCATTCTCTTAATCATGTAGAAGGCCTCTCAGCAATGAGGCAGCCTCATATATGTAAAGCCTCAGGAGTCTAGAAAATAACGTCCCTGAATAGGCTCGCCAGTCCCCATGCAGGCATTTTATATGCTGCACAAGTGACTCCTGGTGAAAGCCATCTCCAGCCCAACTGTTCAATTTCAGATATGCCAGGCTGTGGGGCTCAGGAACCCTTTACTTCTTACTGGTTCTCAGGCTCCAGCAGGGGTTTGCTGAACCTAGCACCTGTGCAGAACACCTCCTACCTCCCAGCCCTGCCACATCCTCAGCCAGAACCAACACCTAGGAATTCTACCCATCTCCTGGCTGCCTGAAGTCCTTCATGTAACACAAAGAGGCATGAAAATTAAAGAGTACATATGAATCACATATTCAGAGCTGATCCCAGGTTGCAAATTTCCTAGGCTTCTTTTTTTTTTTTTTTTCCAGTTCACTACCCTGCCTAGCTTCCTTTACAGAGCAGGAGAAGCACTGTGCTGTTAGCTAATATCACCTAGGACTTAGGACCTGCTTAATCAAATGGGTAAGGAATGATCTGTCTAAGATCCTCATGATTACAGGCTGGGGAAAGAGGCAAACTTTGAGTTCCTGGTTGGCACCAAAACAAAAGAGTTCTACAGAACAAGGGTGTGGAGAGCAGGGAAAACATAATTATGGTCACGGCCCCCTTCCCTCTGTCTGCTTTCTTCCATACCCCACTGTTTTATCTGAAAAGTTCTCCTCTAAAGAGAAGAAAACCAAATCTACTATGTCAGAGGAGCATTGGGGCTTAAAAGTCAGAATAAAACCTGCAAGATAACACACAGCTTAGAAGTGTATGCTTTCCCTTATTACATAGTAAGTTGTTTCTTTGAAAGTATCGCCTCAGTTATAATGAATCAGAAAGAAGAACAAAACAGAGGGAAGAAATACCACCTTCCTCAGTCTTTTTAACACTGATTTATCCCTCTTTCCAGTTGGAATATTTTGTTTGTTCTTTACCTGCTTAAAACTCATAAGATGCAGACACAAGGGTGCTAGGCTAGCATTCTTAAACATCTAGCTCAGCTATTTCGGTTGACACAATAAGCAGATGGCAAGATTAATCAAATGGGTAAGGAATGGTCTGTCTGCTAAGATCCCACCTAGCATTCTCCAAGGGCTTCAGCCTAGATGCCTTCACCTAGGCTGGTAGATGGAGATCAAGGGAATCCTGTCAGGTTCTCATCTGGGTCAATGGAAAAGGATAATGTAGGAACATGATCCCAGCACAATGCTGGCCCAGGTCTCAACACTGATACCTGGGCCCTTGAGACCTGAGCTGCTGGAACTAGAGTAAATTTGAGGTGCCTAAGTTTTAATAAGTATCTGTTGGGTGCTAGGCACAATACCAAACACACTTCACCACAATCTATTTAACGACTATAAGCCTATTTCACAAATAAGGAAAACAGCTAAATAGATGGGTTATCTTATCAAATACTATAGTTACAGGGTACAGAAGCTAAGCGTCAGGCAGACTTCTATGTCACATCCCCCCTTATCAAATTAAACACAGTAACACAACAATTATAGAAGGAGTAATAAAATATTGCTTGTATTTTAAACAGCTAAGAAATCAGAGAACTACAAAATGGAGCCCAAAGGATCTTTATCATGAGGATGAGTTACAGGGTGTAGTGATAAGACATGACTTTTTAATGGTAGTAATTTAGCTTCTTGGGAACAGGGTGCTACAAATGAAATTTACCTTGCATATCAAGTGGAATTTTCTCTTATTCTATTATAAACTTATCACAAAAATATTTCTAAGTCAAAGGTTAGAAGAAATAAAGATGAATTGGTCAAAATAAATTTTTAAAAATCTCATTCTGCAATATACTTGGGAAATTAATCCAAAAAACATATTCTTAGATGATCCAATGAAACACAGTAAAATAAAGAAAGGAGAGGATAGAGATGATAACATCCAATGATCTTTGAGAGACAAAGGAAGGAAAAGAAAAGAAAGGCAGAAAGGAAAATTGCAGAAATGGAAGATTTTATTGAAAGGAAAACAGACATAATTGAAAATCAGAAAACAATTGCCAAGCTTACAACTGAATAAATAATTTTTAAAAAAGAATGAGCCATCCCTTTTCTGAAATCTAGAAAGGCCCTAAATTATACAATTAAAAATTACCATGGAAAAGACAAAAAACAGCCCATTTTCTTCCCTCCGTTGGAAAATAAAGGATTTTGTCATGTCTTGAGTCTTTAACAAGCACAACCCTAACCTTACAGCCTGCATTTTCAACAGGGAAAAAACAGATGTCTTTGAGGTGAGAAAAATTATACTCCTTTTAGGCACAGAATATATATTTTTATATTTGACATATATCTACATATAGATTATATATGGAGTACATAAATGATATTTCTGTGATATTAAAATTGCATGGTGGGTGCAATTAGGTAAAAGTGTCTAAAAATGGTTCTTAAAGAGGTAATAAATGTTGAGAAGTATTGACTCACAGAAATTTTGGCTTTGCATCAGAAATGTAATGCAGAATTCTAAAACACCTTCTCAAAGTCTCTGTGGGTTTCCACACTAAAGGAGTGAAAAATGAAAACTACAAACATGGTGGCTCTTGGCAGGTAGCAGTAGGCACAGGGAAAATGTTTTATAATACCCAAAGCAAAAAATGAAAAAAGGAGAAAGAAAACAAAAGCTGAGTTTTTCAATGAGTCTAATCAACCAAGAAGCCCTGACACTAAAAAGTGAACTGCCCCTGCAAAAGGGTGGCTTAAACTAGAAAGCTACAAAGCTCACTGGCCTACACAGCTACCCTTTCCTGGTCACCAAACTGCAGACTCTAGGAGTCTTGCTCAGAACACTGCATCTGTAGAAAGCCATACTCTTTGTATGAAGATCAAATCAGAACACATGAGCCCACAGATCATTTTCACGTGGTTATTGAAAAAGAAAAAAAATTATGGTAGTTGCTTGGCACTACTCCTTGATGGCAAAATGTCTAACAAGTGAAAGTGTGAGCTCCCTATATTCCTCAGGCATGGCTAATGGTTTTCGGGGTCTGTCGGCAGTGCCTCTGCCTCTCCAAAAGGTCTCATATCTAAGGCACTAAGGCAAAAGCAAGAGAATTAGAAGGCTACTGTGTGCATCTCCCTGGGGTTACTTCCGTGGCCCGGGCATGCACTGCCAAACCCACTGCGGCAGCAACAAGGCCAGGTTATGGGCCACCCTCAGAGGAACTCGAACCAGCAGCGTGGGTGGCTGTCACGGAAGAAAAAGGAGTAGGTGTGGCAGCGGTGGCCACGCCTACTGTGGTGGATGAGGGACCACAGGGAGTCGCTCAGGAGGACAGAGAGGGGCCGTGGCCCCTTGCGATCACCTTCCAGCGGCTTGACGATCTGCAGCTTCTCGGGCAGGTAGGAGCGGCTGCTGAAGGACATGCCCGAGAAGCCAGTGAACTCGGAGCAGCGCGAGTGCGTGCCCAGCGACATGATGCTCTCGGTGGGCGTGAGGGAGCCGCTGCGCAGCTCGCCCTTCTCCGCCAGCTCCCTCAGCTTCCTCTCCTGCTCCTCCTCGAAGAACCTCCGCTCGGACAGGTAGTTCTCCCTGCGGAGGGACAGCCGCCGCAGGGCCGTCTCCAGGTCATGGGAGCCGGGCGTGCCTGGTGTGCCTGGCTTCTTGCTCCGCTCCTCATTCCTGCAAGAAGAAATGCCATGAGGGTGCAGCGGGGCAGCAGCCGGCAGGACTGTTGAGATGGGACAGACCCGGAGGACAGCTCCAGGGAGGGAGCTTGGCACTGCACGCCGGACCAAAGAAACCAAGGCCAGCGGCTGGAATGTAGGCAGGAATGGAGAAATAAATGCCTGTCGCCAAGAACTACTTCCCTCTGTGGGTTTGAATTAGTTTTTCTTTCAGAAGGGCCATGGCACTAGAGTAGAATGAAAATCTAAGTAAAATTCACCCCCTAGTAGCATCTCCCTCCTGAGACTGCAGGAAGAAACATTCTATAGGCTGCAGAATGGCAGCCAGCAAGTTCAAGAGAGGTATCTCTTTCCTCTTGAATTAAAGGAGCTGAACTTTCAACTCTAAAGGAAAACAGCTCTGATCAAAGAGCTTCTCATCTGTCTTACCCTGTTGGTCCAGAAGAATCAGTTTTGATAAATAAGAGGACAAGGGTGTAGATAGTGGGCAGTGCAGGGTTGGGGTCAGGATCTGCAGGACTTCAGGACAGAGAGGAACTGACCACTGCACAAAGCGCCTAACCTGCAGACCCACAACATGGCAGATGTTTGCTAGGTGCCTGGGATGCTTGCATCCCACCTCCACAACAAACAAGACAGAGAGCCTGAGTCGTAAGCATTTTCAACATTCAACTACAAAGGGGTTCACAAAACAAATGTCAGTGATGATTAATGGAAAATCATATTTATCAATCCTCCTCTTCAACAGAAAAGCATCAACTTGTTACACCTCTTTCAACTGGGTAAAATATCAGTCTCTTGGATAAAGGATGAGCTTGGTGGGTTTGCAGAATGTATTTGGAGAAGTATAGGTCTAATTTTCCAGGCAATTCTCATCAAGCTCCCTCTGATGACTAATGAGCCTGTGGTTCAACCCATACTACTTCTCTTTTCTCCAAAACAGACATAGAAAACTCCCAGCTCACTCACCCCAGATCTGCTGCTTCAGTTTCCAAGATAATGCTGTTGGTCTTGTTATCAAGGACAACATTGCCAACATCACTGCCATAGAAGCTGGACCGGGGGGTGCTGACACAGCTGGACAGGAGGGAGTTCATGGCTGAGGACTGGTTGGAGCCAGGGATGTTCATGGGAGAAGGGGTCAGTGACCTCTGCTTGACAACCTGGTTGATGTTTCTCACAGTCTCAAAGACACGCTTCTGGTGACTGCAGAGAACACACAACATCCATGAGTAAGCAAAGGCAGAAATGACGTTGGAGTTAGATCTCCCACAAAAGACCAACTGATGGCCCACAAAGGCACCTGGCCCTCAAGAAACCCCTGAGCAGTCTACTATATCCTGTGCTTTCAACGTCTTTCTTAGGGTGTTGGGTGCCTCCTTCACAAAGTGAAACCAGAAGACTCAACACTCTCTGATTCCAAGACTGTAATGCACAGTTGTATACTAAAGGTGATACTAGCAAAAGTGACATTGCTTTTCATGTCCCGAAATCTTGACCTACAAGTAAAAACACTTAAGTATAACTTATGTTGGGCTGGGGTTGTGGCTCAGTGGTAGAGCACTCGCCTAGCACGTGTGAGGCCCTGTATTCGAGCCTCAGCACCACATAAAAAAAATAAATAAAATAAAGGTATTGTGTCCAGCTACAAAAACAACAACAAAAAAAGTATAACTTATTGTCTCCTAGCAAATTCTCTTCTTTCATAATATCCACTCTAAAGCAAGCTCTAGGAGGGCAGTGTTCACTGTTGAACACTGTGGCAGCAAAGTTATGGGTAGCCCATAACCTTGGCTATGTTATCCCGGTGCAGCTCAATAAATCTTTGTAAAAGGAATATTTATTGACCATTCCTATTTAAAAAAAATATCAAGACCCCAATCAGTCTTAAATTTCCAGAATGAAATGATAAATATCAGTTTTTTTCTGTTTTCACAAACAGCTATTTCTAAGAGCAGAACCACACTTTGATGCTAATTCATTCTCTTTTGAGGAGAAAAGGGTAGATATGTTCCATAATGGCGTTTCCTTTGGGGCCACAGAGGGCTTCCTTCGCATGAGTACTGAAGTCCTTTGGACACTGACACACCCAGGGTCCCATTAGAGATCTGTCTGTGGAGTTTGGATACAGAGAAAACACCACAAAACCTGGTCTACAGGTTCCTTATAATAAGCACCTTGGAGCAGGCCAAGCACCAGATCTTAAGTTAGGAAGAGAGATGTTGAAGCTGATGTCCCTACATGCATCCAGAAAGGAAACTGAAGCCTTGTGCACACCACTGAAGAGCCCTCTGCACATAGTGGGGCTTGATAAATATTTGTAGAAGGAATATTTGTCGACTGTGCCTATATGCACGTCAGGTCCTGGGTTTGATCCTCAACACCACATACAAATAAATAAATAATAAAATAAAGGTATAAAAAAAACCAAGACTTAAAATTGATCTTAAATTTGTACAATGAGAGGATAAATATCCAATTTCTTTTTTTTTAGAAACTGCTCTTTCTAAGAGCAGAATCATACTTCAATGCTTCACCTCTTCTTTTCCAACTTTCTAGAAGTTTGTAATATATCTTCACAACCTCTCAAGAGGAGATGAGGGATGATGTTAACTGCATTCTCTTATGTCCCTTTATCACCTGGGAAGGACCACAGTCATTGCTGTTGATACCTAAGACCCACACACATGCTAGTTTTTGAGCACCATGGGTCACAAGTCATTCTCTGGGAGGTTTAGGGCTATAAAAGTGGTTTAGCCTTACGTGATGTCTGGAGACTCAGGCTCTTCCAACTGCAACTCCTTGCGCATCGTTCCCTCGATCTCTGCAGCCAAGGAGTCCTGAGAAAAGCCAGAAGACACATGAAAAGAGAGCAGCAATTCAAAGGGTCTGTCTCTATAAGAAGCTTGTAGCCAGGGGAGCCATAAAAGAGTAAACTGGGGCATCAGAAACCCACAGACTTTCTGAAACACAACATAAGGTTAAGAGCATTCTCCATGGTCAGAGACCCTGGTTATGCTATCACCAAGGCAGGTTCTGAACATGGCTGCACCATCAGGCCCTGAGTATAATGTCTAAAGTGCTGCTGAGTGTCTGAAAGATCCCATGTTCCCTTAGCCAAACCGCGGAGCTACAACTATGGCCACAAAGAAGAATAGAGAATTGGGGGGGGGCAGAGGGGAGTGTGTTCGGAACAGTGGGGACAGATGAATTTGAAAATACCCCCGAGCTTATAAATGGTTAGCTATGACATCACAGCCCACACGGGCCACACTAAGTTATTGTCCTCCCAGGCCACAGGGTCTGCTGCAGCCCCTTGACTCACCCAGGGTTCTGGTACTGAGGTTGGATGAAGGCCCTCCAACTTTGCTTCCTAGGCAGGTACTCCCCACCTTTATAGAGCAGTCTGGTTCTACACTAGATAGAGTCTCTTTGTAGACACTGGGTTGTGGGCACTATCATCTCTAGGCCTCTGTCCTTAACCTCCCCTGGCCTCCCACAAGGGAATGCCCTCTCCCCACCAATCCACCCACCTGCTCTATGAAAGGCATGATTCCTATTCCACTAGGAGCCTTGCATTTCCTCCCAAGCAGACCCCAAACACAAGTTCTTGCTAGTTTTCTGAACAGCTCACTCATTTCTCTTTCCACCTAGGATGTGAGCTTTGGGATGAGGGAAGAGCCAGTCAATGATGACTTCTCACTTCCCCAATGGTCCAGGCTCCAAACTGAGACTCAACAATATAGACTGCCTGATGGAACCCCCCTCCCATACCTCGCTATATGAGGAAGAACCTAACACAGTCCCTCCTCACATTGATGTGGCAGATGCCCATGGGGTCACATGTGTTCAGAAAAGCAGCTGAGCACCAGGGGAAGACACCGAGGTAGGACAACCTAAAGGGGAGGGCTAACTCCACGCTAACCAACAGAACTTTTGGCAGTGATGGAATGTCCTCTGTATTGTCCAACATGGTGGCCACTAGCCTAGCACTTGAAATGTGGCCAGTATGACTGAAGTCTGAATTTTTAATTGTACTTAATTTTAATTATTTAAATTTACATAGTCAGGTGTGGCCAGTGCTTCCCAGCGGACAGTGCATGGAGTCTCCTGGGCATCATCTCCTGGGCCCCATGGTCCGCAGGGACACTCCAGTCTGAAGCTGAACCAAGTGTGGAGACTGCAGAGGAGCCAGCAGGAAGCTCCATAAGTAAAGGGCTAGTGAGCTTGTTTTCAATCCTAACTACAAATATGCCATTCTACTTCATAATTACACCCACAGATTGCCATAAGCATAAGCCTTGTTGAAGGGCTTCCCCAGGTGAGTCTGAGGTCTGATAAAGTGAGGATATTTTTCTGAAGACTTCTGTTCACCATGTGGTTTATATCCAGAGTTCTGTGGAACAGAGAGAAAGAAGGGACCTTCGCATACACTAAGAAAAATGAGATACCAAACTACTAATTTCAAAACCATGCTGGGGCAAGTCACAAGCAGGCTCCATGACATTTTGGAGCCATGACCCCCTCTAATCTGGCAATCCAGGGAAACCTATGGATGGCTTCTCAGAATACAGTTTTTAAATGAATAAAGTAACTAGGACTACAAAGAAGACAAATTATTTACTTATGTATGTATTTGGCTTCAGGACTGATAACTGATTTTGACACGGAGATTAGTTAGCATCACTGGTATTTTGAGGCATCTGTGACAACTGGTATTGCTATATAAATACCTATGATTTCTACTGGTCATAGACGGTGTTCACATCACATGTGGCTTGTTGCCTACCTTCATGGAGGAAGGAAATACTGAATACAGTCAGGGATTCATGAAAATAACACATAATTTTCCCTCAAAGTTCACAGGCCTCCTGAATTCCATCTGTGGATCCTAGATTAAGAACTCCTGCCATAAGGCAAAAGAACTGGGAACATCGTTACACAAACTACTACTCGCTGTTTTATTCTACAATTAGAATGGCAGGGAGCAAAAGAGACAGAGCTGGGCGTTCTGCTCTAGAAACAGTCATGGTATGATCTTTAGAACTGTTTTAAATATCTTCAATGCATAATGCACTTTAAAAATAGCCATCTTCAAAAACTGGGCTTGCCAACAACTACAGAAAAAAGCAAACAAAAGCTTTACTTCAGCAAATATGAAAGCTGAGACTCCTTCCAGAAGGAAAAAAAAAAAAAAATGAAGTACGTGTTTTCAATTCAACTTTTCCCTTACAATGGTTTGGTTTTCAAAGACAGATTTGTCCTTGAGAGCTGGAAAGGCAGTGGAGTGAATCCAGGTTACTTACAAAACAAAGCAGCCCCAGGAGCTCACTACATCAGACTGAGAAGCCAGGAAAGAAGGAAACCCAGGCAAGAAGCCTGCAGAGCTACACAGGCCAGAGGGAAGCCTCAAGCAGTTACTGCTAGATCAGGAAACTTGGGGGACAGAATATTCTTTGCTTTTATTAGGATTCCCACGAACACTGAATCAGCCATCTGCCCCTTGGAAAGCCGACTCTTGACATTTTTCTTTTTGGTTTCCCTTACATGTCAATCAAGTTTGTTTTTCTTTTTTAATTTTTTTTTTTTTTTTAGTCGGAGATGAACACAATACGTTTATTTATTTTTATGTGGTACTGAGGATCGAACCCAGGGCCTCACACGTGCCAGGCAAGCACTTTACCACTCAGCCCCAGCCCCAGCCCCTCAATCAAGTTTTTAAGAGAGAAAGGGAGAAAGGGTCTGAGGTTGTGCCTCAGTGGTAGAGCACTTGCCTAGCATGTGTGAGGCACTGGATTCGATTCTCAGAACCACATATAAATAAATAAATAAAAGATCCATCAACAACTAAAAAAATATTAAAAAAAAAAAAAAAAAGAAAGAAAGAAAGGGAGAAAGGTCTAGTCTGACTCTAATATGTAAAAGCAAAGAAGAGAGATCAGGATTTAGGAAGAAGACCCAACAGAGTGGGGAATGGCGAGATAGTATCCTCCAGGGTCGGCAATGGGAGAGTAAAGGGAAAGAGCTCAAGAAAAGGGGCACCAAAACCAGAAGGGAATTGGTTTTACAAACTTATACAGTCATCCATTTTTGTCTCATTGAGGTGAGCTTCTTTCCAAATCTCTTCTCATCTCAGAGAGAATTTGGTATTTCAACAAATCATGAAAATGAAGCCTGAATATAAAGAAGTTCTTGATAGTTTGTTCTTTAGGCCTTCTATCTATCAATCATCCATTCATCCATCTATGCTTCCTTCAGCCATCATCCATCCATTCAGCCCACCAGCCAGCCAGCCATCATCCATCCATCCATCCACTGCCCATCCATTCATCCATTCATCATCTGTCCACTCATCCATTCCACCCACCCACCGTAATTCAGCATCTATTAAGGATCTACAATACTACCACATACAAATTGCTGTGCTTGGTACAGAGTATTAAAGAGAGGAAGGGAGAGAAGAAAATTACATATAAGACATTCCCCTCTCCTTCCAGGGCTTTATACTGATAGAAGATAAAATAAGTAAGCTGATTTCCCTGTAACCAGATGCCATGTAGAAATGACCAAACAAGGAGCTTAACCCTAACGCTGTCCAGCTTCTACAGAGAGATTAACCTCCTGAAAAATCCCCTTCTCTACCACATTCCCCCTAAAGCCCCAACATGAAACAAATTAAGTGGGGCTAAAGAAATAAGGTCATGTGAAAATAGTATGAAAAAAACAACAACAAAACAAGAAAAGTTGTTTAGAGATCACAGACACTGAAAGTCACCAAGAGAATGATTCATAAGTATACAGAGATCCAACAGAACTGTATGACACTTTAAGAATTCTGGAATATACTTCTGGAGCCAAAAGAAATAACACATACTCTAATAAGGTCAGAAGAAAAGTCATGTAGAAAATACATCTAAGTAAATCAAGTTCATAGTAAATTTATGTTTTAATGGCAGGAGTAGGAAAGACAACAGATTTAGAGGGATGGAAAATAAAGCAGCAATCTGTCTTATGCAGTTAAGAAGACATCTGTTGGCCTCACTTGCCCTTGACTGTGAAATAAGAGGCTAAGTGTAAACAATATCCAGTGGTCACAATATCAGGCACCACAGCCATCCTACCCGACAAGCCTCCCTGTGGGTGGGAAGAAAGCACCAGCTCACCATGGGAAACAGGCCCAGCGAGTGGTAGCGCCGGGACGTGGTGTTGGGCATGGTTTTGTTCCTGAGGTTCTTCAGCTCTTCCTGCGCTTCGTGAAGCATCTCCATGCACTCTGCATACTTGTCCTCCAGCTCACGCAGCTACAGAAGACCAAGAAAGATGCAGAGGGTCAGGACCTCATGAGTAGTCAGGCGCATGCCCCCCACAGGAGCCAGAAACACACATGCAATCTAACCAGGCCTCCAGTGTGGAACAGCTGCCCTGCTGGCCAAATAGCAAAAACTCTCAAGATTGGTTTTTCTTTAACTTTTACTTAGAGTGAGCCTACAGTCTCAAAAATCTCCTAAAATACCAACAATGAGCAACGCAGATAAAACAACCTTAAATGAACAGAAAAGCAAACCAGCACACCCTGCTTCAAGGCATATCCTTGAACAGGCTCCTCTCAAGCCACATGTTGCACGGTTTACACTGGTGAGCATTTATAGAGCCAAGATTTAGCATGTGCCAGGCCCTGGGCTGGTGTGGAGCATGGCCTCCCTGTGCTCACAACCAGCAACAGGGGCAGCAGGCGCAGAACCGAGGTGAAAGCAATATTAAATTCAATATAAAAACAGTTGTTCCTCAGCAACTTAGCGAGATCCAGTCTCAAAATGAAAAGTAAAAAGGGCTGGGGATGTGGCTCAGTGGTTAAGCACTTCTGGGTTCAACCCCTAGTACAAACAACAACACCAACATGAACAAAGCCTGTCAAGGGAATATGCTCTACCTTCACTGGAACCAAAAGCCCTCAAGAGGTAAGGGAGACACACCCACCTCGGCCGTGAGCTGCCGCTGGGCATCCTTGGCAGCCCCCAGGTGTTGGACGAGTTCCTCATTTTCCACTGCACACTAAAACACAGCAAAGACACGTAAGTAGACACCAGATAAGCCCAACTCTTCCCCTCATTACCTGATCCATTATGACTCCATCCCCTTTCTACAATGAAATGTGTTATCTCAAACTGGAGTAAAATTTTGTCTTATATAATTTTGAAGGCCTTACAGTCCAATTTCCACTCCCTACCTCCAATGTAAAGGCTGCTTTCTAGAAGCCAGTCTCTCTCCTTCCTTCCTTCCATCTTTCTTCTTTTTCTCTCTCTGCTTCTTTCTTCCCCCTTTTCATTTTTCCAAAATTATTTAGCCTCTCACAGCAAAGGTTTCATATGGGAAACAAAACTGTTTTTTTGCCATTTTACTTAATCCTCAAGGGGCTACTTCTACTGCACCACACACTTGGTGCACTGAGTTGAAACAAATACTAGGCAGGTGATCAAATCAAATTTCAGAACTTCACATCAACAGCACCTTTTTATTTTATTTTATTTTCTAAATAATGTCCTCCTGTGGGATTTCTCATTGGCCAAACTACCACAAGGACAGTCATAACTACATTGTAAATTATCTTAGTTGAGTTCATTGAAAAATAAGAATTAAAATCCATTTAATTACAATAAGTGAGGAATGGATACACAACAAGTAATGTCTACAATAGTCCACCCTTTGACTACCCAACATCATCTGTATAACTCTTCATGACCATAGAGTGAACCCCCATCCTTACCCCCAAAGCTCATCAAAGTACTGAATCTACCTCAAAGTGGAGACCTCTGGATGAAGAGCACTGTGCTTCATCAGGTCTCAATTTAGATTCTGGGGAACTGGTAACTTAGACACTTTCAAATACATGCCCTGAGCACATCATATAGAAGTGCTGAGAAATAATAATAATAATAATAATAATAATAATAATACCACCTCCCATTAAGGAAAGAGGAGGAAGGAAAACATAGAGTGGCAGAAGTAGAAGAAAGTAGAATTGGGCAGGAAGAGAAGAATTTCTTATTTTGTAAGTACAGTAACTCTCATTACCCTGGCCTCTGGCCTCTGGAGGAATGTTACTTCTCTAATTAATTAGCATGGCCACATCTAGGGATGTCACACTCAGAGGAGGATGTACTCATGGAAGGCTGCTCCACTCTAGTAACCCAATTCCTGCTGATGTAAATTTGGGTGCTGGGATTGCACTAAGGACTGAACAACCACAGGCTATTGTCAAGCATAATTACTGTGGCCAGTATATTAGCTTATAATGAATTCCTGCAGCACCTTTTTTGATGAATTCTATTAATCTGTAGATTATTCTCAGGAGGTAAGAGGTTATGAAAAGACCCTTGGCCAACTCAGGGCCACAAGACATTTTATTACTGAATCCACTAAGCTTTTTCTCCAAAGGGGCAGCACATACTCTTCTAGAGTAATGGCCCCTTCCCATCTTGGCACAACCACTGTGGTATTAGCCAGAGTGACAGAAGCCTTACAGCTTTTGCCTTTTTCTGCAAGTCAACGATCTGTGACAGCAGGTGCGTGATCTCCTCTTGCTGGCGGGCAGCATCTTCAGTCTTCTTGGCCAGCTCCTCGGAGATGCTGGCAATCTGCACATTGGCATCCCCTTTGACAAAGAAATGACAATCACAAGAGTAAGAGAGAAAACTACACACACAGACCAGAGAGAATGGTTTCCTGGTCTTCACACATGAAACCCCATCTTTATGGGGAGGAGTACAGAGGGTACATGATGAAGGGATGCAGTGACTGTGTTCTTCCATGGTGAAGCAAAATGGCTTCTCAGGACTCAGTCAGTCATGAGAAGGGACATGGTCTTCCCATGGGCTGTCATCCTGGGCTCAGTGTAAGGGCCTAACCCCACTGATTAAGACTGTCTTCTCAGAGCCAATCAGACAGGCACTGGGAGTAAGCTGGGAGGGGACAACCCAAACATATTGAATCTGGCCAAATCCCAACATTCCACACATAAACAGATCCATGTCACCAACAGGAAGCCCTGCTACATGCACCTTGTTCTAGAAATCCCAGTTGCTAATGCACAGTACAATTCCCTTTGGTTTTCATTCCTATTCAGACATAACCCATTTTATAAGACTTAAACATGGGGTGTGGTTCATTTGCTTAGTATTTTGATGAAATGCAAAAGATTCTATTTGCCCTTTTATCTTACCTTGCAAACTTACAATGGAGAAAATGGTAGGGGAGTACTTATTTGCAAAACTGAGAACTCAGTCCTCAGTTTTCACAAATCAAATCACTAACAAGCAGTTTTCCTCACATCCTCAAGCCAGACTGCTGTATCTGGGCCTAGCTTTGGCATTTAATGATTCTAATATTATAGCAGAAAGCCAAAATTAAATATCCATCTCAGAAGAAAGTGACATAATGTATGGCTAATGGCCTAGAACCCAATTCATTAATGGGGAGGGGGTGCCACACAAGGTCAGGTCTCGTTTCACTGATTTCAGGCTGGCAGGGAGCCTGCTCTTCATCAAAGGCGATACAAAGTCATTGGGTCATGACAATGTGAGATACAAGGAAGTAGGAACTGGGGTGGGGGTTGGGAGCAAGTGGGCAGGGGACATACTCAGCTCCTTTACACAGTCGTTGACCAGCTGCTGCTCCTTCTCTTCGTAGGTGATGGTTTCTGTCTTTAGCTGGCAGGCCTGTAGAAAAGGCTCAGGTCAGGGCCCAGCACTCACACTGCACTGTGACTTGCCATGCACGTGAGGGCGAGGCATGGAGCAGGGGCAAACCCGAGTCTGGGAAGTGCTGGTCAGTATCTCCTTACCTGTCATTAGTTAGACCCTCAAGTACAAAACATTTCCTACTTAGTTAAGGGAACACTCTCAAAGCAGAAAATTGAAAAACACATGCCACTAGAGGGCGCCACACAAAGCCAGAACCCAAGGGCCTCACACAGCAGGCTCTGTAAGATTCTGCAGGAGGGTCTGCCTGTTCATTTGTCTATCCAGCTCATAGATATGGACACTGCTGTGGCTCTCACAGTGCCTAAGACCCTGCCCTGTCTATGGCAGGCATTCTAAGGATAACCACAGGACTGGGGCTGTAGCTCAGAAGTAGAGTGGTTGCCTAACATGCATAAGGCCCTGGGTCCAATCTCTAGTACCATTAAAAAAAAAAAACAGCCAGGTGTGGAGATCCTAAGGATAAGGATAAGCACACATCATATGAAGCTAACGTACACTCTATCACTACTCTGTGCCAGGCACTGAACTATGAGGTTCTGAGTTGGAGTTAAACATGCTGTGTTCAGCATATGGTCCAATACAGAAAATTTAGAGACCCAAGAGCCGTCCCAGGACCCTGGTCAGCTTCCTCCAGGAAGAGATCTGAAGGCCCAGTGAAAATGATGCAGTTTGAGAAAAGGTGTCTCAGAGCCCTCTGATCCTGGCCGTGGAGAGAGAGATACTACATTTTTGAGAACAAAGGCAGGACAGTGAGAATCTATAGATGGGATCAGATTCCCTCACTGACTTTAGGTAAGATTCTGACAGAGGTGGGATTGCTGGGTACTCAGAACTGGGGCATCTCCCAAGGGCTGGAAAGGCAGTGCTAGACTCAGAATGGGAAACACTGGGCCTACAATTGCCTAAGCCACTGGCTGGCAGAGCACACTGGGGCAACCTTGGCAACTCAAGGTTGTTTTCATTAGGAAGTGAAGAGCTGGAAGAGGTGAAGTCTACAAGAATAGGTCTTGCAGAAAAGCATCTTGTTAGGTTCTTTCCAATGCACAGCAATTTCAAGATGACAGACAGTCTGCCCCACTGAAGGGACTCAAGGGAGTCTAGGGCCAGCTTAGGTGGGCACACAGCCTGAACCTGACATCATCCCTCTGGCTAGAGAACACAAACCCACTGCCAATTAAGCAAACAGTACTAAATTTTTATGCATCCATGTTTTCAGAGAAGGGCAGTAGGTGAAGAGGAAAAGTGTGGGCTGAGAGTCACATAAATATCCAAATCCTGGCTTTGTCACTTACTACAAACTTATAGGACCCTGGGATATCAAAACACTTAGCAGCCTGGAGCCTGGTTTTCTCACTATAAATGAGAATCAAAGTAAGCAACTTGCAGCCTTGTTGTAGAAGATTAAAAATTATAATAATAACATACGCAAAGTGCCAGCGTAGTACCTTGCCAATAAAGGGAACTCTCTAACGCAGAGTTTCCAAGTTGCCTCAGCTCAACCTTTTTAAGTCAACTGTTCAAGGAACATGTCTCCAGGCTCTGGGGGCACTGTTTCTTTGGAGCCAATCTGACTTCAGTAACGTGAAAACTGGCTTCACCTCCACTCTGGGTCACTTCCTACACATTGAGACCAGAGCTGAAGAACATGGTGGAAAGACCCCATGGTGAAGGAGGAGAGGTTTGCACCTCTTCTCAGTCCACATGCTGCAGGATGCAGCTACTGGGAAGGCAGTGTCCAGTGCAGGGGTGAGGCCTGTCTGCTGAGTATGCCCAGCAAGCCCAGGCTCAGTGGTTCTGCCAGAGATGGTGGCCTCTGAGGACAGCACTGTAACTGTGGCTATTCTCGCCAGATACAACAAACAGGGCCACCACCCTTCCAGTGGGTGACAAGGACAGGGAGGGAGTGCACTTCACCTCGGATCGAAGTACGACATTCTCCTCTTCTAGGTCCTTCAGCTTCTTTTGAAGAGAATCCAAATGAAAGTAATTCTGGACTGAGGAGGACGACTCATTCCTCTTCAGCCTGGGAGAGATACTGCGCTCACCATCTGGGGAGGGTGATGTCTCCTCCACTACCTAGCCAGCCCCATCTGGAGACCCAGAAGGGCTGCCTCAAAGAAAGTTTGTGAGGCTTGCAATCAGACTGCTCCCTAATGCTCAGGAAAATAGCACCCCAGTGTACCGTGTACACCCCTCTGTCCACAATTTGCAGTTGCTACATTACCTCAGAATTCAGAGGGATGGGATCTACAGAAAGCCAACACAATTCTGGAATGCCTGGAGGTTTATTTGATATTTAGGGTGCACTTCTATGTTCTAAGAACTGCTTTAAGTATTTTGCATGTATTAACTCGAAGCTAGAACTTTATGACTTAACTGCTATTAGTAGCTCCATTTTACTAATGAGGAAACAGCACAAAAATATAAGTAACGTGGCCAGGAGCATGCAGGTTAAGTCGCAGAACTAAGATTGAACTCAGGCCATCAGGTTCTAGAGTTCCACACGGGGCTCTGCTGACTTTCAGAACAGCCTCCACACCTTCTGTCCCAAGGACCTGCCATGGCACTTCTGGCTTCAGAACCCTGTGTTCCTTTAACAGCAAAGCCCACCACCTTTTTTTTTTTTTTTTTAATCTCTTAACATGCCAGAGCAAATCAAATGACCTGACAAGTAAGCAAAAGACCCAGTAAGAGGAAAATTTAAAACCTGCCCTTCTATGTCCCACAAAAATAGTACAAATCAATCCATCTGAGGCACTTAGAGATGCTTATTCTGGGGAAGGCTGACCTGTGCTGCTGGTGGAGGTGACCCTGCCTAGGTGACTCCAATGACATCAACAGCAGCCTGTGCCCTGGCCTCCAGAAACACAGCCCCCAGGTGACTTACGGGGTTGAGCAGACAGACTCCGGCTCGCTCTCCTCCGCAGCACTGGTGTAGAATTGGAGCAGCTCATCCTTCATGGACAGCTCATGGCGGAGCTGAGAAACCTGCACAGACAAGAGCCAGGCCCACCTTTTGCTTTCTAAGAGGTGATAATGTCCTCCTTGTACTCAGACACTTACTACTTAGAGACAAATTTCCCGTTGAAAGTGAAGGCACTAATGGATTATGTGCTACTCAACAAAATAGGGGTTTCTAAGAGTTGAGTCTGATCCCACTTAAGAAAAACAGAATCCATTGCTTGAAGGCAGAAATCTCCTTCTCTAAATTAATAATTTTAATTTTGGTATAGAAAAGGGACACGAAGGCTCTAGAATGATGATGGAGGACATGAGATTACTTCTGGGCTTTGGAAGTAGTTAGATGACCAGCTGGACACACTACCAAATGAAAGAAGAGGCCATTCACTTCTGCTGGAACCAAATCCAACTCAGAACAGGATCATGGAGGTGCCAGCTCTGGTGGGCTGCCATAAGCAGCTAGTCCACCCTACCTGGAAGCCCACACAGCCCCACCTGGTGACTGATACACTTTCATGGGGCTCCTGGCCACTCTCGGTCAGTCCTTGCTCTGTGCTCAACAATCACTAGACAGAAATTTCAGATACAGGAGGAAAAGAGCAACTATCAAGAACTGATCACACAACTACTGCTACGGTGGTTTTGCAAATCATGGAGACTTATTTCAGGTTTTAAAGTAAAAAAAACTTTTGCTATAAAACTCTTCATTTGCCCTTCCAATATTTAGTAGTGATGAACATGAAATCAGTACTAAAAAGAGTGTGCAACTCTGTTTTCTTTCTTATTTAGAACTTGATGTGAGGTCTATGGTTAAGTCCAATTTCCGACCCAACACAGGGAGTGAACTGTTTCTCCCGAGGAGAAGCCAATTTATTATATATACAAAGGCTTCAACACCTAGACTGATCATTCAATGATGTACCAAAGAGGAACATGCTATACTTTGTAAATTCAAAGCTTTTTCAAGGCAGGGGAACAAAACATTTCCAATCCCAGAGAATAGGATATTCTTTGTATGTGGTAAGGAATTCCATGAAAGAATGGTAATGTGATTTATTGGTTCCTGAGTGGCATGTTCCTCTGCCCAGAAGGGGCGAGGTGGCTACTAGGGAGGCTGAGGGCAGAAGGATCACAAGTTCAAGCCCAGCCTGGGCAACTTAATGAGACTCTGTCTCAAAATTTAAGAAATAAATAAAAAGGTCTGGGGATATAGCTCAGTGGTAGAGTACCCCTGGGTTCAATCCCTCGTTTCAACAACAACAACAACAACAAAATTGCAGTCTGAAAACTATAGAAGCAGCCTAAATGTCCATCAATAAATGGACAAGGAATTGATTTTTTAAAACGTGGTATATTTATACTATGGAGTTTTATTTAGCTATGAAGAGGAATGAAAATATTTCATTTGCAGGAAAATGAATGGAACTAGAGAACATGATAAGTGAAATAAGCCAAACTCAGAAGGTCAAGGGCTTTATGTTTTCTTTCATATGTGGAAGCTAGAGAGGAAAAAAGAAAAGAAAGTGGATAGAAATCTCACATAAATCTAAGGGAGATCAGTAGAGGAGAGGGTAAGGAACCAAGAGGAGGAAGGAGAAAAGGGAAAAGGGAAATACTGGAAAATGATATTGTCCAAATTATAGTGTTATACTGTTTGTATGTAAGAATGTGTTAACAAAAAATCCCATCATTAAGTACAAATATAATGTACCAATTAAAAAATGAAAAATTGTAAGAAGGGTCCCAGGCTAACCCCCACACTTTCTTCATGGTCACCTAAGAAAGAGAAGGGAGGACTTCAGGTCTCGATGCTAGGGGCAGGGAAGACAGGGGTCAATTTTATTTCTCCTAGAACACAATAGTATTCTACTTCACCATCTTTAAAGATAGCCTGGGATTAAATCTTTTCATATAGTATGACAACTCAACTTCATCTTATTAAAATTGCCATTAAACCCAGGTTGGGAATCACTTCAGTGAGAAGAAAATTTGATTACATCTTAGGGACATGGGTAAGGACGTACACTCCCAATAAGGAAGTTCCTGATAGAAAATAAGAGAGAAGCTTCCTGTAAAAAAAAAAACCTGTCAAAATTTCACAGTCAAAATTCACTGCGGAAATAGGGTGACAGGAAACAAGTCCCCCAGGGGGCCTGGCTCTCAGCTTCCTACTCCTGTTCCAGAAGCTGAGGCTGACTCCATTGTCTCCTTCCTCCTGGCCACACCACATGGCTTCAGAAAACAGGTGTGGATCCTCCTCATCCTCTTAGGATAAGTCTGATAAGTCTAAATGTTTCACGCCCTTCCTGTAGCCATTGACAGTCATCAGCCAAGATGGGCATCATGAAAATAACAGGGTTTCTTCCATGAAAACAATAGCTATTTTTTTGTTTTTCCTATACACACAATATTACATTACAAGGATGAATGCCAGTCACCACCCTCCCCTGCAGCAGGAGCTGGCCTTCTCTGGCCCAGCCACCTTCTGCTCACTTGCTGTTGTGTTGGCCTGTATGCGCTTCTGCTGAGCATGGAGCAGCTCTGAGGTTGGAGTCTGCACTTTGAGAGGGTGAGGACTGTGGCCGGTCCCTGCTGCCCAGCCTGCCTACGTGACAGGGTACTAAAGGCCTACCAACTAAGGACTGTGCCTACCCTGAGAGACCCGTCCATGATGTATGAAGAAAGAAAGAGCTGCAGGACACCAGCTTCCGGCCTCCAGGAGGCCACCTCTGACAGGAGCCCTGGCTCAGGTCTGGGTGCTCCCTCAGGGTGGCTTCTCCAACCCATCTCCCTCCACCTTGCTCCCAAGCCCATCGTGCCTCACCTCCTCCCTGATGTGTTCCACTTGCTCCTCTAGCAGCTCGTTCCTCTCAGTTAAGGTCTTGTTCTTCTTCAACAACGACTGGCCGATCCGCGCAGCCAACTCCAAATCCCGCTCTTTCTACCAAAGGCAAGAGGGAGAAGAAGGATTCAAAAATACCCTCGTGTCCTCAAGGAGCCATTAGGACTTGATGTCAAGTGAGGAAAACAAGGGCATCCAGAAATAACAAAAGAATTGATAATTCACCATCTGTGTCAGCATTTGACGCCCGTTAAAGAGGAGTAAACTCTGCCCACGTATGTACGAGAGCTACGCAGACATGAAGCAACCAAAGGGAAGCCTGAAGATGTGATGAAAACAAATCTTTGTTCCCACAGGGGGGAAAAATGCTTCCAAAGATACTTCTGCACAACTGCTTTTGGTGTTTGTGCCATCATTGATAAAGCTTCTCTTCACCTGCCACTGGGGTGCTGTAATGCCAGGGCTCAGCACATGGAAACACCAGTAACTCTTTGTAAGAGGAATGAAGAAGTTCTAAAATGCTCTCACAATGCAGCTGAGATCTGGCACAGGGGGGCAGCCTCTGTACCATTTACCAGGCTGGAATGCACTGAGTTCCTTATTTTTGCCTCATGTGAAACAAAAACATTTAAAGTCACTCTGAGACACAACTACGTCTGTTTTGTTTTGCTATTTTGTGTTTTGCTTAGGAGGGTTATGGAGGCTTTATTAAAAACAAACAACAGTCTTTCAAAATGCAGAGATGATGCACACATTTGCCCTACTTTAGAGGCAATGTGCTCAGACACAGGATTTTCTGATGGTTTGGTCAATGACCTCAATTAGACAGAGCAGCACACGCTGGAAAATCCTGTGTGGCACATAAAGACAGGGCTGTCTATGAGAGAAGAAAGATGTCCTGGATGATGGACAGATGGCTTCCCTGAGTGCACACTCATGATCCCCACAGCATCCATCCTTGCCTCTATGGTCATACTCCACCTGCTCACTACTAGGTGGGGACAGGGGATGGTGAGAAGAGGGGGCTCTGGGAAAACACATTTCTGTAGCAGTCTCACACTAATTACTCTGTTTGCCAGTATTTTAAAAGCATGGAAACATGTAGTTTGGGGGAGAAGAAACAAAGCTGGAGAGGAGTCCCAGGTTATGCTTCAACACCCACTTATTAACCACCCACGTGGTCTGAGGCAAATGGCTTTGGCTTCACCAGCATCAGGAACACTGTGGGTTAGTTGTTCCGAAACACATCTTATGACCCCTAGGGTGGGCTGAAATATCATTTTAGTCATCATTCAGTTACCAGAATTTTGTTTTGAATTCAAAACAACAGCACAAAACTGAAAAATACCAGAGTGCATGCACATGATAAGGGCACTATTTCATGTTTAAACTTTTGTTTATCACATGTTTACCTATATGAGTACCGGGACAAAAACCTAAGACTCATTCCTTTTCTCTTTTCTTTGGTGCTGGGGATGGAACCCAGGGCCTGGTGCATGCTAAGAACTCACTCTACCCCTGAGCCACATCCTGGTCCCTAAGCTGTGTTTCTTACAGCAGGCACTGGTCACCAGTTTAACTGCTCCCAGGTGAGCCATCCTACTCTAAGTTGAGTACAACAGTTTGAACATCCCAGTGGCCCAATTCCCTGACTGTTAAATGGAGGGTAAAGAAGGGGGCAGGCTAGCTGAGAGCGCCTTGGGAAAAAAAATCTAGCTTTATGACTAAGTTGTATGACAAAAGGAAAATACAGTTTTTATTTCTAGCATCTTAGAAATAGTTCCCTTACCACTGTTCCCTTACTACCTAGAGACTCAGCACATGTGGAAAGGACCCTCCCATGCAGCCAAAGGGACAGGGTGGTTCTGCCCAATCCATCTAGATGCTCATCTCTGTGCATTTATTCCTGCTGGCCACAGCATCTACCAGGAAGCTTCCTTATCTCACATTCCTTTGTCAATTCTCAGACTCAATAGTTGTGTTTACTTGGTATCTAAGGGAAAGAATTCAAAGAACTGTGTGCAAGGGAATAGGTGCAGAATTCCAATGTCTCAGCACCCAGTCCAAGTGGGTTTCAGCTCTTTTGCATTTGGCTAAAACTGCAGTACAAAGGACACTTCTCTGTGAAGCAAAGTCTCCATAAATCTAACTTGAGTCTATTAAATTTCTCTGCTAGAACAAGCTCTTAGACTGAGTGCCCAACGGTGCTTAATTAACGCCCATCAGCTCACTCTCTGGCTCCCTGCTCTGCACTGCTTTCCAGGCTGCTAAGCCCCAGCAAGCACAGACCCTTTGCACACCTCAGCCACATTTTGTCTGCACGTTTCCCTGCAGACAAATTGAGCAAAAATTACAATGCTGAAGGCAGGTTAGGCAAGGCACTGCCAGGGCACCCAAAGAAGGAGGGATGTCTTCCTAGGGCATCGAGGGCCACCACCCAAGAGCAATAGAAACAGGCAGGGCGGGGGGAAAAACAAGTGAACAAGGAAAGGCTTTTGCCCTGCATTCACACCTCCAACCCCAGCCCTTGGGCCTCTTGCCTCTCCTGGCCCCATGGAGGGCTGGCATCTGTACACAGGAAACCTTATCTCTACAGTCATCACAAAGAACATTCTCTGCTGGTTAAAAAAAAAAAAAAAAAAGCAGGAAGTTACAGTAAAAATATTTATGGATGAAATGAAAAACACTTTTATTATAGCATCTCTGGTCTTTTTTGCTCTAGTTTTACTAATGCATCAGGCTGGTTGAGTTTCCTTGGAGGGAATCACAAGATGGGGAAAAAAAAAAAAAGCTCCCATTTCTTACTACCAATTATCATATGACAAATGTTTGCTTCTAAATTCAGGAAACAGCTAGGAAATGACTAGTGGATTAAACCATAAGAGAATAAGAGACTACAAATAATTTAGGCCCTTGGAAGTAGTAAATTATTAGAAAAACCTAATCCTCTTACCACGTGGGAAATGAGGCAAGGTGGAGCTTGCTCTAACTGCCTGCTCCCTCCCTCCTGTTGGCTATGCTTTGCTTTGTTTTGCTTTTGAAGACTGCTACTTGGACTCAGCCTTTGGTCTTGCAACAAAACCCTGCACTGACAGTGCACCCACTAGAGAAGGAACAGCCTGCCTCCCTCTTGTAGCAGCTGACTCATCCCATTCACTAATTTTAGGATAAAAGCATGACTAAGGGAACAATGGAACCTCTCTCTCTCTCTCTCTCTCTCTCTCTCTCTCTCTCTCAGAACTGGGGAAAGAGACAAGCTCTACCCAAAGGTATATTCCCAACAGCAGGGAGGCAGGGTGAGCTGCAGCAGCCTCGTCCCCTTAAACCAGGAGCACAGTCCACATTCAAGGGCTGTGCTTCAGCATCCTGTGCAACTCCCTGGCACCAGCCTGCATGTGGCCGGCATGCAAACCAACACAAATGAGCAGAGGAAACAGAGGCAAAGGCCAGTGAAAAGCACAGCAGGGTGCAGCTGTCACATGACTTGTGCAGCTAGACTTTAACCCCGACTGCTTCCAGAGAAAGGCAGTAAATTCATCTGGGATTTTTATCAGGGCAAGAACAAAATGGTGTTGCTATATATAAAACACAGAGATAAAAACATGATAACCTGGGGCTGGAGTTGTAGCTCAGCGGTACAGCGCTTGCCTTGTACGCTTGAGGCACTGCATTAGATTCCCAGCACCACATATAAATAAGCAAATAAAATAAAGGTCCATCAACAACTAAAAAAAAATATTAAAAAAATTAAAACACGATAACTCTTTAAAAATAAAAGAAGCCACAATGAAACACTCATGTGAATAAATTACCCTACCAACATTCTTTCCAGCAACTCAATTTTTAAAAATATGAGACTATATTCTTCATATAGCAACATTCGGTCAGGAAATAAACTAGAGGGAAAGTGAATTACTTATTTATTTGTTTGTTTTTCCCTCTTGTGGTGCTGGGGATTGAACCCAGGGCCTTGTGCATGCAGGGCTGAGCTATATGCCCAGCCTCTGGAAAATGAATTCTTGATACTAAGTATCTACATAAAAAAAACTTATGTCCTTGGCTCCTTAGAAATGGTCCTGTGCTCTCTCTACTTTCTTGTGACCAAGGAGCTGCTTCTTCCTCTATTCCTTTCCATCATGATGGTCTGCCTCACCTGGGGCCCAGTCAGCCATCTAGGGACTGAGACCTCTGAAACCATGAGCCCTCCTCAACATATACACACACAAAAAAGAGAGAGGGCGGGGGAAGGGGAAGAGAGAGAGAGAGAGTAAAAAGAAAAAATAAAAGTGGTCCTTGCATGTCCTAGCAGAGAGCAGGGTCATGCCCTGTGGAGCATTTACCTACACAGCACTGCCAGCTCAGACAAGCCTCAGCAAGGACCTTGGCAGTGCACACCCAGAGGCTGCAGTGCCCTGGTCACATTTTCCAAGTAAGTGTCCCATGGACAACTGTATTAACAAAGACTAAATGGGCAAGCAAACAAAACCGTCAAGAGCGACAGTCCCACCAGGCAAGAGGGGCTAAGGGGCCGGGCTGGGAATCTGCCAAGTAATCTTGGTGCCTGTCCCATTGGATTCCGGCTCCTTCCATGTAAAATGGAGGAAACAGCAGTATCAACTTCTGAAAGCTACTACAGAATTAATGAGATGGCCTGTAGAAAACACTCAGCTCTCAGTTCAGTTTTATCCCAAATAGTAAGAAACAGATATTTTATCAAAGATCTATTATATCTAAGGTTTAAAAAGTCCCCTGGGCCCAACCATGTGAACCTGCCACATGGCCAATGCCACCACCAAGATGGCTGCAATTCTGGATGCCACCAGAAGGCACAAGGTCAGGGCCCCAAAATGCTTTCCCCCATGCCCAGTCACACAGAAACAAACCCTGACATCATTTATATGGCCCTGAAGAGTTTGCAACTTCCCCTTCAAGAGAACGAGACAGGAGTGTGTTGCAGGGCAGGTGTGGGGAGGCTGGTTGTGCAGAAGGGAGAAACACAGGAAGACAGAGACATGAAACAGGGAGAACAGAGAGTCACTGCAAAAGCTTTGCCCCCCCGCCATACTGGCCCAGGTCCCACCCAGGTTTCAACCTTGTCTTCCCAGTGCCCCAAAAATGGTAGCAATGATTTCTGTCTCCCATCGCTTCTACTCTTTTTCCAGGGAAGATGCGAATGAACAGTCATGAGCCCAAAGTCATTCTGGAGTCTAGAGCAGAAACACAGCTCTAAAAGCCAGCACCTGTTCACTAAAGGCTGGATTCAGTGGTGCTGGGATATTTGGGGCACTTAGCAAATGCTAGCTAAGACCCTACCTGCTCCAGCCTGGGAGAGGCCTATGGACGCGCGTGTTACGCTCCTTTTTCTGAGGCCTTCGGACCTCAATTCTCTGCCAACGGAATACTCAGAAGAAACTGAGAACCAGTCCTCAAGTAGTTGCCTAATCCTAGCAACTTCTCTAGATTTTCCTTGCCACACTTATTTTACTTCTTCCCACACTGACACTGTAATAACACACTAGCCCGATATAAGCAAAAACTTAAAATATGTTAGAAAGACAGGGATAATCATGTATTTTTCTGACATTTGGGGGTAGATTTAAAATATATTTTAGTGGTTCTCAAATATTAAACTGGGTATTCTAGCAAGTATCTGAATGCTACCATATTTTGTGTCAATGGTATGTTCCTTTAAAAACCTAAAACACTTGCAGAAAACTGCAGCTACCAAGGTCAGCTACATAACTACTAGTTCAAAAAGTAAAGCCATTAAATTATACCCCAAGGAGGCCCAATCTCTAGGACTCCTGCTGAAATAGTAACGTTTGCACTAATCAATATAAATTACGATCGATCAATTATAAGCAACCTTTTTGCCTTCCCCTGAATACTTACCTCCTCAAGAAGTCGAGTAACAGCATCTATGTCATTGTATGTCTTAGTCATCTGGCCAACTCTTTCAGCACATAAAACTGTAAGAAACAGAAGTCACAGTGAGACTGTGGTGCCACAACCCCACCCAACAAATGGTACATGTAAAATACTGGCCCTGAAATTGTCTCTGCTTATTAGGCATAAAGGATAATGGATTTTGCTGGGTTCAACCCACACTGTACTCAGCACCCCAGGGGTCTCATGTCCCAGTTCCAGTGAGGAAGCCCAGGTTTATGACAGGGAGAGTTGTCATGGAGTTCCTATGAAGCCCTGACTTCAAGGTGAGGTCTGGTGGTGGCAATGAAAGAGGGTCTGGCCTCATACAAACTCAGCAAATTGAAGGAAATGGAGAGGAGGTCAGCGGCACAGCTCCCATGAGTGAATTTCCATAATTCCCATAAGATCCAGAGCCTATTGACTGTACAGATTCACATGGAGAGAACGGGAGCTTTCAGGAAGCAGCAATTGGTTTAATTACTGAACAACAACCTTAAACTGGTAATTTCATAATGGCACAGGCCTCTTCTTCCCAAATGGCCTCAATTCTAAGCCTACACAACCAGCGTTCATACCAGGAAACTAGGGTGATATATAGATAGATAGATAGATAGATAGATAGATAGATAGATAGATATTTTTTTTTTTTTAAAAAAACACTACTACTATTGTTGCTGTTGCTGCTACACACACACACACACACACACACACACACACTGTGGTTTCATTACACATACACTTCACTGCGGTCACAGAGGTGGCTCACAAGCTGCTTTAGGACTATGTGTCTTTGTTCTCCTTCTATTGAAGAAAAGGGTTGTGCAAGGAAAGAAGTGTGCCAAAAAAAAAAAAAAAAAAAAAAAACCACCTCAGAGTTGTTTTATTTTAAATCAGTGGCAAAGAATTGATTTGCAGTTCAACAAACACAGAGAAGGTAGCACAGGTTTTCTTCTACAGGGGACGGAATGAATGTAAATGGATTCAGGGCCAAAGTGCAAATTTTTTGAACCTTGTCACTTTGGTGCTAAATAAAACTTCTTAGTAATGCTTCGTAACTAAAACACTGGAGAATAATTCTGTTAGGAGTGGATGGTTTCTTAGTGGTCCAGCCCATTCGGTAACAGCCCATGCAAGGCACTAGGAATTAAAGTGTTTAGTAACTCATATTCAGGGGCATTACTAATGGCAAACTGTAACTGGAATTCAATAGGTCTCTAAATATTTTATTAAATGCAAGTAGAGATCATCCTAGCAAATGAGCTCAGAGAAATCTGAGCTGTTGGAATGATTTTCTAGCTTAAGGAGGAACCTTGAAATCTGGTCCTGAATCTGAAACCGACCAGACTGAGTGCACAGAGCCAAGAGCCTGGCCCTCTGCCCCCTACCCTCCATCAGCACTTCCATGGCAGGATCCCTCCTGCCTGCTGCAGGGATGCTCATGGCCTGAGCCATTTCCCTTTCCCTTGCCTCACACAGAGTTGCCAGGGAGGGAGTGGCAAAGGACATTTATAAGAGTAGGTCTAAACCAGAATCTAATTTGATGTAGATGAAGTCCAGCTCCAATTGCCCTAGATAGTTCATCAGCTCCAGGGCACAAGAAATCCTTAGGTGAAGATTCCTACGATACCACCAGGAGTTAGTTTTCCTCCTGCATAGACGTGATGTTCTTCTAGAACAAGATTCAGAGCCGCTATTTCTCTAGCATTACATTAATCAGAGATTACACTTAAACCTTTAGAGCTCCATTTGTGAACCAAGATCACTGTAATTATTCATACAGTCAGTCACATGTAACCACATGTAGTTGTAAGAAATTAGAGAGGGATCCCGCATACCCTGGAGTCAGGTTCCCTCAATGGTAACATTCTACAAAATTATCACATGATACTACAACGGGAATACAACATTGACACAATCCATGCATCTTCCTCAGATTTCCCCAGTTTTACCTACACTGTATGTGTGTGTGTCTGACCAGGTGTACATGAAGCTCTGTACAACCTTCAGCCTGTGCATGTTTACATATCTACCACCACAAGGATTCCTTGTGTTGCCCTTTTATAAAGCCAATTTCAAAAAGCTTTAAAATACCTTAGCAATTGAACCCAACAAAAATGCACAGCTACGCCAATGATCTTGCTAGCATCACTTTATCAGGCACCCACTGACACCACCCACATAGTGAAAGGAGGCTAGGGGTGCCCCTTCACACCCAAAATGGCACAACTGTAGCTGGGGGGAAGGGACAGGGTTCAGAGACCCCCATAAGTGCAAGGACCTTTGACTGAATCTAATTAGACAAGTCAGAGGTATAAGTGAAAACCTACTGCCTATTCTAATGCAAGGAAGTGTGTTATTATTCCAGTTATAGTTTTAAAAGTACATATTATACCAATTTGGGGGGAGAGAGAAACATATAAATTTATAGTATTCAGGAAAAAAAATTAAGGATAGCCACAAAGAAGCTGACATTTGGATACATTCACAAATTTTAATTTTCTTTTTATTCTACAATAACCATTGGGGGGATTACTTTAAATACTTTTCAGGGAAAATATATAGTCAGCCACAATATAAGGTTCTAGGGTAGTCTCCAAGCTTACTTTTAAGAGAAATTTATACCAGCAGCAATAGAACTTTTTTTTAACAATTGACAGATAATAAGTGTACACCTTCATGGGGTACAGTGTGGTGTCTTGTGCCTTTCTACATCATGTATGGGTCAACTCAGAGTGCTCAGGTTATCCGCCTGGGCAGACCCCACTGAGAATACGTCTATGGCCAGGTCATTCATAACCCTCTGTGTGGATTCTCTCTAGTAATCTTCAGAGAAATACCATGGGGTGGGCACTTTCACCAACACCATTTTACAAATGGGGAACTGTGGCCCAGAAAGAGGAAATAACTTGCTCAATGCCATAGAGCTAGCAATAGCAAATGCAAAATAAGAACAGTGTCCCCAGCAGGAGCATGGATAACACCTATGGTGCCCCTATCACGTCATCTCTTGGGACGTGATATCCCTTCTGATTGAACCTTCACAGCAATCCTGCATGGCAGGTGGAGTTCTAGCGGTGACTCCATAGATGTCAAGAACACAATGTCACAGAGAATGGGGAGAATGGGGCTGCACTGCAGGGACTGATCCTAGGCCTAGGCCAGTCTGTCAGAGAGCCACAAAGGACACAAGAGAGAGGCCAGGGCTGGAACCAGTCAACAGTGCTCAGGATGTGTATGAACAGAGTAAGAAGCGCTGATGGTATTGGGGGAGGAAGAGTCTTGACTTTGAGGCTTAGATTTTCACAGGAGACAAAGACCAGGAGGCCTGGGCAGGTCTCTTAATGGCTGAGTCTTGGGTTTCCTCTTCCAAGAAGTAAGGGGGCAGGGCTAAGACCAATGAGGCTGGGAAAATAAGAAACCAAGCCATTAGAGTGTAAGATAAGTACAGGCTGTGCTTTTCAAGCACCAACTTTCTAGACACTAAATCTACAACAAACCGTGGCCAAGTTTTTCTCTCTGTAGGAAAAGTGTTTCAAATGGAAGCTCCTTTTCTGACCCAGAGCCAAGTAAACTCACTTCCAATGCCCCCAAACAAAACAAAAAAAAGAAGATAAAGGAACAGCCCCAAACCTCCATAATAACTAATACATTAACATTATGGTCTAAATCCTAGAAAAAGAAATTAAACGTGCTCTGTCTAGGTCATCAAGTAGCCACATGACACACTTATGTAGCCTCTAGTACTAGTGAACTCACACCTAAACGGCATTCATTATCATCACCAGGCTCTATGCCCAATGAGTCGGGTCACCTGCCCTCCTGGGGTACAAGGGAAACAGGAAAGCCAGGGAGAGGTGTCTGGGGGTTCAGGGCCTGGTGAGCCTCTCTACAGAACTTTTATCACAGGACAATGAAAAGCCACTGCAGGGTTTTTCAAAGGGAAAGTGTGAGGTTTGTATTTCAGAAAACATTTTGATCTCATTGGGGAGCCATGGGGGAGGGGATGCAAGGCAATTTGCAGTGACCAGAGTCCGGACTGCTGGACTAATCCAGGAAGGTCCTGGCTGGCAGTGGAATAGAGAGAAGTGGGCTCTTTCCGTGAGATCAGATAAAGCAGGAGGTAAATCACAAAGTACAGGATCTGCACCTCTTGCCAGATGAGGGGGACAAGAGCAATCTACTTCCTGGGTCTGATGTCCCCCTTTGAGATGGGCACATGACAGGTCAGAAGCAACATGGAACTTTCCCAGTGAAACCAAGGGCATTGTGAAAGTCATATCACTGCAGGATGATGTGCCAGGCCCACAGGGCTGACCACAACCCATAGTGGCAGGACCCCTCCTTTCCTCCCACCAGCATCACAACTGGGTGCCACTGGGGCAGAATCCACTTTGAAATGAGGTGAGAATCAAGTGCTCATTTTTGGGAAGGCAGACAGAGGAAGGTATCACGAGGGCAAAGTGGAATGAGTAGGCCTGGGCTGGCTGACCAGAGGGAGGGAGATGTGTGACTGGGCTGTCACGGCTAACTGGGTTGCGGGGGCACCATTCTGAGAGGTGTTTTAGTCCAAAATCCAGTAGTGCAACTTGGATGAAAATTAAACCATGCCCCAAACAAATTGGAGAATAAATGCTGGCACCCATTTTCCACCTCCTACTCACTGGCATGAGATGATAGCCAAAAAAATTCTCAAGTATCTATGTGGGCAGGCCCTGAGTAGGAACAAGTCCCTGCCCCAGGCAAAGGAGCCCTGGCCAGTCGGAAGCTCAGGAGTGACTGAGGGTGAGGGCCCGGGTGCAATCCCACAAGGGAAGAAAACAACAGTGATGGGGAGACACTGAGGTACAGGGTGGGAGCCGTGGGAGGGCTGTCTGCAGCAGCCAGAGCTGAGACCCAAGCGGGGAACTTCAGGTTCCGTCCCCAACAACATGTTTTCCTAAGGGACCTCAGCTCCATGTCACATGTCATATTAACAGGCCTGATAAGCCCCCTTCATGCTTCCACCAACCCTATTTGTGGTCTTTAAGAAATATTAGAAAAT